TCGAACCTTTGACACCTTCGTTTCACCCCTAAATAAATAAATAAGTAAATAATTGTGGGTCGCAGCACGGCAGGAAAACATCCTTCTGTTTTCCAAGCCGGACTTGAAAATGGTATCCTCTGTGTCTCAATCATAGTCTTACCATTCCACTGTGCCTGCATGCCTACTTAAGGTGGGATGTCATAGTTTAAGTTTTGTCTGATCCGTACCTACAACATCCCTGAAAATTAAACGAACGCGTGTGTTCATACCGCGGCCGTGACCTTGTTGATGTGGAACAATGACATCTGAAAAGTCACTCCGGGTCCGTGTGCGTGTGTGTGTGTGTGAGAGAGAGAGAGTGTGTGTGTGAGTGTGTGTGTGTGTGTGTGTGTGTGTGTGTGTGTGTGTGTGTGTGTGTGTGTGTGTGTATGTGCACATGTGTGTGTGTGTGTGTGTGTGTGTGTGTGTGTGTGTGCGTGTGCACACGTGTGTGTTTGTCTGCATGCTCATATTCGTGCGTGTGTACATACGTGAATTTGTTTGCACATGCCTCCAGGCGGCAGCGTAGCAGACTTTCTCTTCTCGGCCGACGATAAGCCCTATCCCCTGGACGAAGGGAAAGCACTGAGCTTTCTGGAGCAAGTCCTACAAGGAATCAAGTATATGCATACGCAGAGAATTCTCCACTGTGATATCAAAGGTTTGTACTTGCAGTGGTCACACACATGCACACGCACACACATGCACACATGCACACGCAAGCACGCGCGCACACACACACACACACACACACACACCTTCCTTCCTTCCTTCTTCCACTGCCATGACTGGCTATGTGGCCCCATACGGGGCAGACCAGGAGACGTGTTGTACGCCGGGCGGGGAACGCCAGACTCAGCGCGCGCGGGCCGCGCGAACAGCACACACACACACACCTGGTCCTGGTCCTGGTCCTGGTAAACACTGCCATTACGGTCACGTGTCCCCTCGCGGGGCCGACAACATGGAAAACGACGCGCGTCGGCAGAAAGTCGGCAGTCTGCCGAGAGATCAGGGACCATGTTCAATCAAACACACACACACACATACACACACACACACACACACACACCATCTACACGCACGCACTCACGCATGTACACACTCACGCCCGCACAAACACACGCACTCACGCACCCCCCCCCCCCCCCCCCACACACACAATGTACACTAAGACTGAACGAACATAACGTTTGAGTATTTTAACGTTATTGGTGTTAACGAGCGAACATTCTTTCACATTCGCCTCACGAGTGCATGCTCGAGCACGACCTGGTATAAGCAAAAAATAGTGTAATTTTCGAATGCGTCTTTCATGACGCTTTCGAAAGTTGCCGGCACAATGGAAGTTATGATCCAAACTCCTTCCATACGTAGTGCATGTAGCAATTTGCCTGAGTAAAGTCCGTCCTTAAGTTAAAGGCATATAGTACAGTGACTGGCTACTGAGTCCAACGCACACACACACACACACACACACACACACACACAGTGTGTTGGCAAACACAGCCAGACTGTCGGCTTCGCATGAGTAGGAGCGTAGAGAAATAGACAGGCTTCAGACTTTCCCGTTTGCATCTTTCTCCGCATACCAATGAAGTTCAGGACCATCGAAAGCAGTTTTTTGATTGCTCCAGTAATACCATAGTCTCCAGTAATACCATAGTCTCCAGTAATACCATAGTCTCCAGTAATACCATAGTCTCCAGTAATACCATAGTCTCCAGTAATACCATAGTCTCCGGTAATACCATAGTCTCCGGTAATACCATAGTCTCCAGTAATACCATAGTCTCCGGTAATACCATAGTCTCCAGTAATACCATAGTCTCCGGTAATACCATAGTCTCCAGTAATACCATAGTCTCCAGTAATACCATAGTCTCCGGTAATACCATAGTCTCCAGTAATACCATAGTCTCCAGTAATACCATAGTCTCCAGTAATACCATAGTCTCCGGTAATACCATAGTCTCCAGTAATACCATAGTCTCCAGTAATACCATAGTCTCCAGTAATACCATAGTCTCCAGTGATACCATAGTATCCGGTAATACCATAGTATCCGGTAATACCATAGTCTCCAGTAATACCATAGTCTCCAGTGATACCATAGTATCCGGTAATACCATAGTATCCGGTAATACCATAGTCTCCGGTAATACCATAGTCGTTCATACTGTTGTCTACCGTATTTCACCGAATATTAGTCTTACACCTCTTTAAAGCTAATTTCATGGCCAACAAAGGGAGTGTGACTTACAATCGAGCATGATTACTACTGAAGTGTATCTACTGAAGCGATATGACATAGACCTGGAAATAGGAGTGCGTCTTACAATCGAGGAAATACGGTATAGCAGGAAATTTTCGGCCGGAAATATTTTCGGACAAAGCCGAATTTCGACCTTTCGTACGGATTATATTTTGGTACAGTGCTGCATGCTAAATACACGTGTTTGCAAGCAGAACGCATGTATAGTGTACATAATTTCACATGAACAAATTTTAGCAAGGAATTAATTTTAGTACAAAAGAGGCCGTGTACGAAATCGTACGAAAATAAATTCCGTCCGAAAATTTCCTGCTTTACAGTACGGTAGCTAGTTATGAACGGTGTTCTTGTATGTCTATGCTGTTATCACCGCCAGGGGGTACGAATGGCAGCTCTGATCTAACTTGCTCCATCATTGCTGAAAATAGCGCAGTATACTACCATGGACATGATCGGGAAACATCCCTACATAGTCATTGACATGGATATCGCAGAAATATTGATGATAACTTTGTACGCGCTCGTGTGTGTGTGTGTGTGTGTGTGTTTCAGGAAGCAATATTCTCCTGGCAGATGAAGAGCGTCGCTTTGCGAAGATTGCGGATTTCGGTACGGCTATCGATTTACGTGGGGACGGCACGGATGGCTATGAGACGTCTGTGCACTCCAGTGCTGGCGGCGGAGGAGGTCTTGGCTTCAGGTCCGTCGTGGGCTCCCAGCCATGGATGTCACCAGAGGTAGGTGTCAGGTTTGCTTAGAATGAAATGTGACTAGAAAGAGTGATTGATTTTTATTGATTGATAACTTGATCTTTATAGCTCATTGCATTCATACATGAGTTTGCTTAATCATGGGCATAGGAACCGGTCCGGCAGGCCCGGCGGTCGCCGGACCAATAATTTTCGAATTTTTTCTTCTTTTTTTAAACATTTCAACCTTGTTGATGGCTTGTCTACTCTTGTACAGGTACCATGTTTTACATCGACAATGCGGTGTATCATCAGCATGCATATTCTTATTTCTCATATTATTCTGTAGCATTGAATGGCCTTTTAGGCCCAATTTTTAAAAAAAATCCCGGGGGAGGACCCCCCGACCCCCCTCTCACAATTTCGCCGCACCAATATTGAACTGCTTCCTACACCCCTGTTGATGTGCATTTTATTTTGCCCGTACAAAACACTATACTAGAGAGGTAATTAGAAAGGGTGTACTGCATACTGGGGACAGAGTAGGGAGGGGGGGGGGATACCAACAGCGAGAAAAAAATCAGAGAGCGAGAGTAGGTGGGAGTGAAGGAGAGAAAGAGAGAGAGAGAGAGAGAGAGAGAGAGAGAGACAGAGAGAGAGAGAGAGAGAGAGAGAGAGAGAGAGACAGAGAGACAGAGAGACAGAGAGACAGAGAGAGAGAGAGAGAGAGAGAGAGAGAGAGAGAGAGAGAGAGAGAGAGAGAGAGAGAGAGAGAGAGAGAGAGAGAGAGAGAGAGAGAGAGAGAGAGAGAGAGAGAGAGAGAGAGAGAGAGAGAGAGAGAGAGAGAGAGAGAGAGAGAGAGAGAGAGAGAGAGAGAGAGAGAGAGAGAGAGAGAGAGAGAGAGAGAGAGAGAGAGAGACACACACACACACACACACGCACACACACACACACACACACACACACACACACACACAGAGTGAGAGAGAGAGAGAGAGAGAGTGAAAATGGGAGAAAAGCATGTGTGTATATAGTCCTGGAAGCCTAGCTGCTCATAAGAGCATAGCCAGCGGCTGAATGTGATGGTGGTGTTGGGTGTTCAGGCTACGTTTTTGGTTTGTTTTTGTATCGCCTCTTTCAGGTGGCTAGATCAGCTGCTGGTGCTGACTCCTACCCGCGCGATATCTGGGCTTGCGGTTGCTTTCTCTACGAGATGTTGAATGCCAAAGCACCGTGGTCGTGTGCGAATGTCGGCTCTCTCATCTTCATGGTAGGCCGGTGTACGTGTGTGTGTGTGTGTGTGCGTGTGCATACGTGCGTACGTGTGTGCGTACGTGAGTGCGTGAATGCCTGTGTGTGTGTGTGTGTATCTGTGTTGCCACACCTGCCGACATGTCAGTAGCCTGCCGATATTGTAGGCATGTCCCGACTTGCCGACCATTGACCATCTCACGTGTACTCCACCATTGAATGGTGTTCTTTTGTGCATCCTTCTTCCTAGAAGCAAATACTGTTTTTTACCATGGAGTCGTTTGCATGGTTTTTATAAATCAAGTAACTCGTATTCGGCATAATTTGCATTGATAATTATTATAATACATAGCAGGGAGAGTCTTGTGCGTGCATGGATGCGTGTGTTCTTGTGTGTGTTCTTGTGCGCGCGTGTGTGTGTGTGTGTGTGTGTGTGTGTGTGTGTGTGTGTGTGTGTGTGTGTGTGTGTGTGTGTGTGTGTGTGTGTGTGTGTGTTCTTGTATGCTAAGATTGGTAAATGCAACTCGCGTGACAAGGTGCCCAAGTTGCCTAGCAACGTGTCGTCATTCACACAAAAGCTGTACGATGCCATGACAACTATCGATGTAGCTGATCGTGCCACGGCTACAGAGTTGGTGGAGATGTTCGAAGGCAAGTTTTCTATGCAGCTGGCATCGTTTCTATGGCAACCGTGCAATGACTGTGTTGCAAAAGAATGGAAGACAGGCGTGCTGGGTTCGAATACCGCTCGCGAGGGTCATTCTTTTGCAACATTGCCAGACCGGCAATGGCTCAAACCCACGACCCATCGACCCCCCCCCCCCCCCCCCCGCGAGTAGGTACGGCCTGGGCCTGGGGACACAGCCTGTTGGGGCGGGGGAGCAGTGTAGCAAGAAGGACCCACGGGTGTGTGTGATCCCCGGTAGCCTAATCGGTAGGGCACTGTCCCGGAAAGACAGGGTGCTGGGTTCGAATCCACGCGTGGATCCTTCTTTTGCAACACATGTTCCCAGCATTTCTATAGCAACAACAAAATATCACCCCTTTTTGGCACGTTCTGGTTGGTGCGAGGCCGAGACGTTGTGGTCGGCTGAGCTCCAGGGCCTTGTCACCACATGCTCTCCTTCTTCTTCTTCTTCTTCTTCTTCTTCTTCTTCTTCTTCTTCTTCTTCTTCTTCTTCTTCTTCTTCTCGCCGGTTGTGGAATTGGAATGTGCCGAAACGGCCGTATGGGACACGCCTGCTTCACGTCCGCCCAGAGCCGGACTGGGCTTCGTGACACCAAAAGCACGCGTGGTAAAACCAAGGAAACAAATCCTCAATACAATCAGAGAAGGCGACTGCCAGGAGCAGCTACGGCACCTAAAGGGCCTACAAATGCAAGGGGCCTGGACCAAATGGGCAGACACAATGTTCGAGGACATGACATGGCGGAAACTCTTATACGAGGGCTATGGAAGGACGATATCGTTCCAAATGAACGCGATACTTAATACTCTGCCTTCGCCTGACAATCTGAGACGATGGGGCAACTCTGTTGTGGACCAGAATTGCCCTCTTTGTCAGCGGACATCAACACTGAGGCACATTCTCACCGCCTGCCCTTCCTCACTCCATCAAGGAAGGTACACGTGGCGCCATGACAACGTCCTGAAACAGATCAGTAAATTCATGACAGAAGTAGTATCAGCAAAGCAAAAGTCGTCAAATACCGAGCAAACTCCCACTAATGGTACATACATTACCTTCTGTAAACCGGGTCAAAACATCCCCCATGGCGAGTTACCTCAGCGGAAAGGTCTGAGCGATGGTTTTTTGTCAGGATCACATGATTGGCAGCTTCTTTCAGATCTGGACGAGAGGCTAGTATTCCCACACTTTATTGCACCTACCACGTGTCGTCCAGACATAGTTCTCTTCTCGAAGAAATTGAGAAGGGTTCTTTGGCTGGAACTCACGGTGTGTAGCGAAGACCGCATCATCCAGTCCAGGGAGAAGAAGCTGTCACGGTATCGCCACCTCAAACAGGAGTGTATGAAGAATGGCTGGGAAGTCGAGGCCCTCACAGCGGAGGTGGGAGCTAGAGGAGCCATTTCCAGCAGCCTGGACGGTTTGGCACGGGCATTGGGCGGTTGTAAAGAAAAACAGCGCCAATTAAGAAGGAACTGCAGTAACGCAGCACTAAATTCCAGCTACGTTATCTGGCTGAGGCGACGTGAGAAGGCTTGGCGCGACTGGCCACTGTTTTAAAAGTCCCCGAGAGGCAGTTTGTTGGCACTTGGTTGGCGGACAGCCACCCAGCGAGGATAGTTGGGTACCCTTCAAATCTTGGTTTTAACTCGCCACACCGGCTTCTAAAGGGCCGGGGGTGGGTGTTCGCCAACCAAGTCGAGCTTTCATTCGTTTTTTTTTTTCGTTTTTCTAGTCTACTTGCTTGTGCTGCGCCGCGCTGGAGCGAGTCTATCAGTAGATGCTTTCGCCGCTTAGAGCTACTATTGCACAAAGCCACAACACTGCGCGCTGCCATTCGCTGTATGCTTTCGCTGCACCAAGCTGCTGTTAAGCTGCACGACGCCACAACACAAATTCACTACAACAGTCTCGTCCACAACTTCACTACAACAGTCTCGTCCATATTGCACTACGCTGAGCACTGGCCTGCTCCCGCTCTGAAGAGCTTTTTAGCCTTCACCGCTTTTTGCTCAACCCCAGGCATTGGCCCACAGTGGCATCCGCTTCCTTTTTCTTTTTCTTTTCTCCTTTTACTTTCTCCGTCACTGCCTAAAAAACAGTCGAGACGGTTTTTTACCCACCAGTTTTTATTGGTGCGAATTACTTTCCTTCAGTTGTGGCTTCTGTAAAAAAATGAAAATGTTCCCAGCGTTTCTATAGCAGCAAACATTAGAGAGGTTAAGATGCACGTTATTTCTGACGTGAAGGGGCGTCGGAAGGTATTTTACAGTGGTACGGTCAGCCATCTGAAGTACAATTTACTCGTGTATACCCCCTCCCCTGCCAGGCACTTTATACATCCAGCTCGAAAAATTGAAAGGCCAACTACTCATGGAGGATTTTGGTGCTTTCTGTGCGGAACATCGCTTTCCAAAGTAAAAAGGCCATGAACATGAGGTGATATGCTCACCCAGTGCCGTACATGTAGTACCGGATCTGAGGTTGATCTGAGGTTGATCTGAGGTTGATCTGAGGTTGATCTGAGGTTGATCTGAGGTTGATCTCGTCACCAAAAACAGAACTCTTGGCCTTTCGGAATCGCATTCTGAGCTTATAAGTCCCTAATCTCTTTGGTGCTCACATCCACGCTGTGATGCAGCTGATCGTTTGAAGTCGTCAGGACTTTCTTCTCTGCTTCCAATAGGTCTATCCGCACCTTCAAATCATCATTCTCAACTGTGGAGAGCAGCAGCCTTTCCTGCTGAGCACTTTCATGACTACTGCAGTGCTCATGAACTTTCTGCTGCTCTGACGTATCCTCAGCTGTCCCTGTTTCCAGTCCTGGTGACAGTCAGTATTCTTCTCAGACTTAGAATAGCTGTAGAAGAATTGCAGTAGAAAAGGAGAAGGACAAAATGTTACGAGTTATGACTAACTATCCACCAATGTAACCGGATCTTATACAGTCAGCGAATGCAGCTACAGTCACCTTTGCGTATAGCGACACGCGGCGGTGCATCAGAAAAGTGTCCTTGTACCTGAAGTCTCATTATATGTATACACGTAGAATGGAATGCTCTGGGCATGGAAATTCTGTGGTTATTCGCGAGTTGTCGTTATATCGGCAGTCGTTATTAGCGAAGTAGACTGTAGTAGAAAAAAGAGAAGGACAAAATGTTACGAGTTATGACTTACTATCCACCAATGTAACCGCATCTTATACAGTCAGCGAGGGCAGTTAGTCGTAACTCGTAACATTTTGTCCTTCTACTTTTTTACCATAATTAAATTGGCTCACCATCCGAGTTCAATAGTAGAAGAATTTATAGTGTTGATTGGGGAGGCCCTACAGACGTTGCCGTTTTGTTACAGGGATCCGCTTCCAGGGCCCCAGCCTCATGGATAGAAATCTCATTTCTATTTCTTGTGCAATGCTCTTTTCCTCCATACGTCGAAATTTTTAGATTATCGTCAGAAGAACGGAGCTGGCCCGAGGTCTCTCTCGTCGGTGGGACGTGATTTGCTAACGGAGATGAGTTGTCAAGACGACGCGGCGGTGGAGAATCCCGGCAAGAGCATCGCCGACGACGACGGCACGTTGCCATCGTCACGAGGCGACACACTGACACCCGACCTCGCCATGGCCGTTGCCACTGACAACGATGCAGGCGATGCCGACGTAACCATGGTAAACATGGCTGCCGACGAGAAGGCCATGGTGCTGGCATCAGCAGCGGCAAGACGGGGGTATGCGAACAGCTCACAGAACGCCACCACAAGTTCAACTTCATCAGGTATGGCGTTTTCTACTGTTAACCGATATTTTTTATTTTTTATTTATTATTTATTTTTTAGATTTTAGATTACATCCATACCTGCTCCCAGTCCCGTGCCACCTCCACACTTATACAATGGCACGTATTCATCTAAAATGGCGGACGCCCACGCTGCATACATGGTATGGGCGCACGTGAGCCACGCTGGGGGGACACTTGTTCGATTCCGCATTCAAATGCATACAAATGCGTGGAAAAGAAGTTTCTCTAATCGCTGGAACTTGTGAGTTTCTTTCGATATAGACTACTGGTCTTCAAGGTATACAATAGTAGTGACCCAACGAAGTGGAATTTGCGGAATACAACGTTCGAGAAGGCTCAACAAGTCAAGAGTAAATTGCGAATTTACTATGTACGCAAATGAGAAAACCTACTTGTTTCCCCGCAGCGCTAGTCACGTGCGCCTTCAGTGAATACGTACCATTGATTAGACTCGGGTGAAGAGCCATTCTCTTTGGTCCTCTTTTCTTCTTATAAATTAGACAATTGAATAGATATTTACATTTATTTTGCAAAGAAAAGAACCAAGGAACTACAAGTTACGCTACAATGTCCACCAACACCAGCAGTTACTTGACAATCCGCTCATGCGACAACGTTGCACCACACTGACACTGACACTCACCTGTCCTTTTCTTTGCTATTAATTTTCCTTGGCTCTCCATCTGAGTCCATATTTACGTTTGGAAGACTATTTTTGACAAGTAGACAATGAATAGACAACTGGACATGACGAACTCAAGACGAAGCTAGTGATGCTTATATCAGGTCCACTCTGATTTAGCCGCCCACACTAGTAGCAAGTATTACCTTCACTGGGGGTAGGGGTAAATGCAGTTGGATCCCGGAACGGATACCCTGATGCCGTCAATCTTTTTTCTGCACCTTGTCCTCACCCACCTACTGACGTGTGGTGAGCCCATAAGTGGGATCATTTTCAAGTCCACCCAGAGTTTTGGGGATTTCAGGGGGTGTCGGCCATTGAGCAGTTCAATAGCCAAAAGAATCATCTTTCCAAGATTCCTTTTGAGTCTCTCTCCCCTCTCCCGGGGAGACCCACGTGACCAGTTTTGGCAGTGACCAACAAGTACAAGTGTGTGTGTGTGTGTGTATGTGCGTGTGTGCATGTGCGTGCGTGCATGTGCGTGCGTGCGCGTATGTGCATGTGTGTGCGTGTATGTGCATGTGTGTGTGTGTCTACATATGATTGGTGTATACAGGTATTGACGTGTCTTACGATGACCACCCAGTGACTATAAACCCAGACGATGCTGACGCTGCAGATCTCCCCATGGGGTATACTAGAGCATCAGGTAACCATGACGACAGCCAATCACCGGCAACCGTTACTGGGCATGACGCCGACATGGACATTACGGTACACGAGGAGGAGCCTCACACCGCGCCTTCCATGTGGCATTACAATCACCATGCCGACCGATCAGCGGTGCAGCCACGACCGCGCTCAGCAGCGTTCGCCGCGGCACAAGGAGAGGACGATGTTGTCATGGTGACTACTCAGCAGTATGACCCGAGCAATCCCAGCGTTCAACAGCAGCACCAACCGTCATCGTCATCGTCACCATCATCGTCAGGACTGACAGCGCCGTCCAGTGCGCATGGCTGCGGCGGTGGTGGTGGTGGCGGTGATGGTGGGAGCAGTCTGGGTTCGAGCTGGGAATTCGGTATGTACTGTATGTAGTCATACAGAGATCGCCCAGCTGTGTGTGTGTGTGTGTGTGTGTGTGTGTGTGTGTGTGTGCGTGTGCGTGTGCGTGTGCGTGTGTGCGTGTGCGTGTGTGTGTGTGTACGTGCCAGTCGTGTGCTACAGAGATAGCCCAGCTGTGTGTGTGCCAGTCGTGTGCTACAGAGATCGCCCAGCTATGTGTGTGTGTGTGTGTGCCAGTCGTGTGCTAGAACTGTGTAAAAGTGTATTTGTATTCTATATTTTGAATTTGTTTTTAAAGGCTTGGGAGAACTTCACATTTCAGAGGATCAGTCGGGGAAGCGAACTGCCTGGAAAGAGAACAATGCCAGACCCACCAGGACTCGAATCCGGAACCTTGCTTGTCATGAGCAATGCTCTAACCACTGAGCTATGGGACCAGGCTGAACCTAGACTGTAGAAGGGGCTGACAAGTGTTTCAATCCCAAGGCAGCTCACAACACGTGCCACACATAGTGATGGCACTCGGCTCTTTCCCCTCCCCGCGGGGCCCAACCACAGTCAGTTTCTGGAACGTACTACCAGAGGTGAAAGAAAGTGATTACCTTTTTTTTCTAACGGTTATAAGTCGACCATTTAATGACCTAAAAATCGACCAAAAAAGGTGAAGTCGACCTGCAAGCGGGATATAACTGCCCTTGAACGGGTATACTGAGGTCCCAAGTCTGGAGGTCGACTTATAACCGGGATCGACTTTCCACCGGTAAAATACGGTATTTGTTCTGCACATGTGTGTGTGTGTGTGTGTGTGTGTGTGTGTGTGTGTGTGTGTATGTGTGTGTGTGTGTGCGTGTGCGTGCGCGTGTGCGTGCGCGCGTGCGTGCCCATGTATGTCTGCACTGGCTATTGGTAACCACCCAGGAAAATGAAAGAATATGAAAGAAAACTCAGGAGGAGTCTGATGAAGGGAGGAAAGACATGTGTGACCATAATAGTCAGGAATCAAACCCGCAACCTCTCGATTGGAAATCGCTGCACATACCACTGCACCATATGGGACACGCAGTGCATGCCGGAGTATGTGGTGTGATGTGTGCGCGGAAAAAAAATGAAAAAGACCAAAAAGTAGGGATTCACGGGCCAGAAAAGCCACTTCATAGCTGTGTGGTGTAGACCAGCCTGAATAGTGGCGGTCAATTCTTCAGCCTTGCAAGCTGTTGAATGGTGCAATCCCAGCACAAGTTGCTATGGCTTCTGCTGTAGCATTGCTATCATCGCCTCCGGGCGTCAAATGGTTATATGGTGTGGGTCTGTGTCTGTGTGTCTGTGTGTGTGTCTGTATGTGTGTCTGTGTGTGTGTGTACATTACAGTGGAATCAACCAGCCCGTCGTGCCTACCATCCTCACTCTCAAAAGTAGCTGCTGCAACAGCGACAAGAGCAAGCCCCGCGGCAACGACAGGTCCCAGCGATGGCCACCATGGTAACACGAACACCAATGACGTCACCACCACTGCCGAGAGCACTGGTCGTCGTAGTAACGCGTCGTCTCAGAGTAGGCAGCCGAGGCACTCCGCAGTTGCCGCCATCTCGCCAGGACAACGCACGGACCATTCCGACACGCTCGCCTCAATCAACTTTCGCTCTGCGCAGCGGCAGGCCAGCGTGGAGCAAGGCGCTCGATTCAAATCTCCCCTACGGCATATGCACACCTGTCCCGATCTGTCCCTCTCATCTGCCTGGCAATCTCGACCACCACTCTCCTCAACGGCAGCAGCAGTGACAGCCACCGCAGCCACGACGGCAGCAGCAACAGCAGCTCAAGGAGGAGGACCTAGCGGCGGAGGTACAGGCGCTGAAGTGCCGGCGTTGCCCAATGAGATCTCACCGTCCAGTTCCAGTCGTCCCATTGCCATAGCAACGCAGAAACAAGCCGCTGCCGATTACTCGTCCATGCGACCTGGTTTTGTACCATCCAACCAGAGCGCTACGAGCTTCACAAATTCATTTCTTTCAGGCAGTGGAGTGTTCCCGTACGATTCCTCCGTCACGCGACCTAGCAATGTTGATCTCCATGACAGCGATCATCAATACTACACGACTATTGGCGCACACTCGGCGTACACAACCCTGCCGACCAATCCACTGTCACCCGTTACCATGGACACCGCTGTACGGCTAGCACCAGCGGTTGCTAGGTTACCGCGATCAGCTGCCGCACCACCACCAACACCACAACTGGTGTCAACGGCAGCAGCAGCAGCAGCAGCTATGCCAGGGACAACTACAACTCGACGTGCTCCTCCTGCACAAGCACCGGCCTCGGCGTTCGTGCATGGCACTCAAACCAATGGCGGTGGTTCAGATCTGCGTGGCACTGCTGTGGCAGCGTATCACCATGGTTATGCGGCTCAGCCTCATGCCAACCATGGCAACGGCTATGGGCGTCCACAATCTGGTATGGATCCTGCTGCTGGTGCCAGTGCGGTGGGCCATAGTGCATACCATGATCAGTACGGTGCACAGCATCATCAGGGATGTCCACCCAGGGACTTCTACCGTGGGTCCGGGAACGGCCACCACCACCACCCAGCGTTACCCAGGGCGGGGAATCCCCCCGGTGCCGGAGACGGTACTGGACATGACATGTACGTGTATAGCCCCAGGGTGGGTGCAGGGGCAGGGGCAGGGGCAGGCCATGGCAGGCTGGATGACAGCAACACGGTGTTGACAGGGCAGCAGAGCCAGCAGCAGCAGCAACATCAGCAGCACCACCACCACCAGCAGCAGCAACATCAGCTGCAGCAGCACCACCACCAGCACCAGCAACAACAGCTGCAGCAGCACCACCACCAGCAACAGCAACAGCAGTGGCAGCAGCAGCAACAACAGCACGCCGGGCAAGGACTGACAGAGATTCATGGTCAGAATGAACCTGGGAGTGCAGCCTTCACATCTGCAGCAGCAGCAGCAGCAGCAGCAGCAGCAGCAGGTCTGAATACAAGAAACTGTGCTGGACCTGTGGATACAGCTGCTGCTGCTGGTGGTGGTGGTGGTCCTCACACTACTACGGCAACACAGTCACAGTCGCCCCCGTCCGTAATGTCCTTTAACACGGCACCGGGCACAACCATCCCAGCAGCAACAACACCAACACGTGGAAGAACGACAGCGTCACAGACCGGCAATGCTGATGGTGACGACGATGACAGTGATGAAGCGCCGTTTGACGCCGGCGCCAGTTTTGAGGTACAGCTGAGTAACCATGACACCCCAAGCAACGAGAATCGCGGTATCATTGATAGCATATTCAATGCCAAGTCAGCAGCCACAGCCACTAGTGCTAGTGCCAATCCAGCACCCGCCGTCGCCACCACACCCAGTGCTGACGTATCCAGGACGACCGTTGCTCCGGGTTACTCCAGTTCTCGTATCCAAGGTGAGCTCTTCCTGGAGGACCTGACTGTATCCTCGTCGTCGACGACAACACCAACTGGCCACCTCCCGTCACCCATGGATATGACAAAGTCGGCGAAGACATCGTCTGCACTAGTATCATCTCAAACCATGACATCATCATCTCAACCTATGACATCATCATCATCTCGGCCTGTGACATCACCGTCTCAGCTTCAGCCACCATTGTCATCAGTGACGAGGAGGACACTTATGTCTGATAGCATTTGTGATGGTGAAGCAGACATGCACACTGGCCACAGCGATGAGGGCCTCAAACAAACACCACCATCCACTACTACAACAGCAGCAGCAGCACCACCACCACCAGCAGCATCGGCAGCAGCAGTAGCAGCAATGCCAGCACCACCGCAACGACAACACCAATATCATACGTCACCTGTTTATTGCGACGACAACACACCACACGGCCATGCACAACACACCAACAACACAGACCGTGTACGTATTGCCGTGGCAAGTAGTGCCGTCGCTTCTGAATGGAGACCACCGGGAACGCAACCACATCAACAGCAACATCACTTCCCGCCCTCCGCCGCTCACAATCAGAATGGGTCTCACCAGTTTTTCCATGGTTACGATGCCATGGCAACCGGCCAGACTGCGGAGCATGTTGCCAGGCAACGTGAAACTACTCCAGGGAGCAGAACACACGATGTGACGGCGATGGATGTCCAATTTGTTGGCGCCAGCCAGTCGCCTCCAGCGCACCCTCACCTTCACCAACAACAGCATCACAACTCACGGCAACAACAGCAGCAGCAGCAGCAGCAGCAGCAACAGCAGCAGCAGCAGCAACAGCAGCAGCAACAGCAGCAGCAGCAGCAACAGCAACAGCAACAGCAGCAGCAACAGCAGCAGCAACAGCAACAGCAGCAGCAGCAGCAACAGCAGCAACAGCAGCAACAGCAGCAGCAACAGCAGCAGCAACAGTATCAACAAAGTGGAGCTGGACACAATGCTGTGGAGGATGTCAGACAGAGACAGCAACATAATGAGCAGTATGGATTCCAGCAGAGGCAACAACAGCAACAACAGCAGCAGCAGTACAACACCTCACCCAGACTAAGTGGACGGCAACAACCGATGCATAGCCCCGATCTCCGGCTTCCGCACCAACCTGGACAGAGTCCTGATCTGTCTCACAGCCGCAGAGAGCAGCTTCAGCAGCAGCAACAGCAGCAGCAGCAACAAAGCTTTCAGCATGAGCCGCAGCGTTACTCCCAACATCCTCCCGGGCATCATTCCCCATTCCCAGGCCAAGATGGAGGGCACAACCAGCAGCAGAGGCAGCAGCAGCAACAGCAAGGACATGACTCCCACCATCACCACCATCAACAGCACGATCAACAACACCAGCCACAACACCAGCAACAGTCAGAGCACCTCTCTGACAATAACCGTCATTATCCACATGGTCGCCATGACGATGACGCTGGACGGCAGTTTCGAAAGACCTGGCATGACCAGCAGCAGCAGCACCCCAATGCGTACTATCATGATTACCAACAACGACCACAACAGCAACCACAACAACAACCAAAACAACAACCACAACAGCAACCGCAACAACAACCACAACACCACCAACAACATCCGCAACAGCAACAGCATGACGTTGATTGGCAGCCTCGGCTGCAGCAACAACAGCACCAGCAAAGCTACCACCATCAGCAGCAGCATCAACAGCAGCAACAGCAGCATCAACAGCAGCAGCAACAACAGCAGCAACAACAGCAACAGCAGAACAGACACAGCAGCGATCGCCAGTACCAGCCACAGCAGCAGCAGAATTTTCCCCAAGGTGGACAGTATCAGCAACAAAACCCACACCAGCAACCGCAACAGCAGCAGCAGCAACAGCAGCAGCAGCAACAGCAACAGGAACACCCGCAGCAGCAGCAGCAGCAGCAGCAGCACCACCACCACCAGCAGAAGAAGGACAGGCACTCTTCAAGGCAATGGGACGAGCAGCAATTTCCAATTGGCGGTGGCAATGATCACTTGGAGCAAAGAACAAGCGGTCAGATCTATCAATACCCTGCAGAAGATCTAGACTATGGCGCACAACAACAACAACATTCCCGTTACAGCAATGACAACCCACCACAACTGCAGCAGCAGCAGCAGCACCATAGCAACAGCCATCACCACGGTCACCACTGGCAGCGCGACTCAAGCCAATCATCCAGCAGTAGCTTAGCGGGAAATCCCCGCGAGTATGATGATTACTCTCCTGACCGAGGTTTCCATGACAATCACCATGGCTTCAACAACGCAGGCCAAGCGCCACAATCACAGTCTCAAGCGGATCAGACGGGTGACGACGATGATGGGCAGAACCGTGCTGTCGGGTTGCCCTGCCGACGATTCACCGAGCCACTGAGGTCGCTGACGGAGGACAACAACCCTGACCTCATACCCAGCCAGGCTGCACGGCAGCTGTCGTCCTCCGGCCTGGTCCATCGTGTCGAGCATGACCCTGCTAGCGGTGGTGCTGGTGCTGCTGATGCTGGAGATTGTCATGGACCGTACGGTGCAGGCCGAGGTGGTCATGGTGATGGTGGTGATGGTGGAGGATTTCTATTTGGAAACTCTGTTGCAGCCACCATAGGTAGTCAAATGTCCAGTAAGTATGCACATGTATTAAGAATAATGATATCCGTTACGTTGTAGGTTCTCTCAGTGCGTACAGAACGGTGCATTCAGTGCACGTGTTGATCGTATGCGTACTCACGGCTGCATGGCCAGCGCCCTGGGCCGCTTGACCTCCGACTGGATTTCCTTCTCCACTACAGTATGATGACTTGTGGTTGCAATACAATGACTTGTGGTTGTAATATAATGACTTGTGGTTGTATTATTATGACTTGTGGTTGTAATATGATGACTTGTGATTGTACAGAGGTATCCGTATACCTGTACCTACGACCCAGACACGGCAGTGGCAATGCAGGTACAGTTGCCACGGGAACAGCGTCGTCATCGTCGTCGTCTTCGCCGTCCTTCAGACTTCTGGTCAACGTCATGGTGGATAACACGTGGAAGGTTTCCAGACTGTTGAGGTTCATCTCCGACAAGGTAAGTCGTTATCACGTCTTGGGTACCGCCGTAAGTAAGATCACCTCTTGGGTACGTAATACCGTAAAGTACCGCCAGAGCGCCCCACCATCTCGTCCTTTCGTGGTCGTACTGTGGAGGTGGTGTCCTGTCTGTAGGTCATACGGCACGAACCTTGTACAGGTCTACTCTCCATATAACGTAATCTCTGGGACCACGCAAGAATGATGTTATATCGAGAGTTTTGTTACGTAGAAAACCGTGTGTAAAATACAAGATGTCCCTCAAAATGAAGGGTATTACAAAGCGGGTTCAACCGTGCAAAGATATACACACTGTACCACCATCGACATCAGATACCATCAATGCCGCAGAATAGCGAGGTTTATGTACAAGTGAGAGTTGTTATATCGAGAGTAGTCCTGTACACACATTACACGTTGTGCAGTCAATCCGTCCTCAGTTTGTCTTCGAGCGGACACGAGCTCCATACAAAAACCTGCTACGTGTGAGCTTAGTACAGTAAGGTTGTCACACCGTACACCACTTCGTTGCACTCTGCCATACAATTTTCCTTTCCCTGGCTGTAAAATCAAGGTGGGGCGCTCTCGCGAGACGGGGCGCTTTCGCGGTAATTTACGGTAATAGTATCACCTCTTGGGTACATACAGTCCTACTCAATGCAATCCAGTCACGTCGTCACTTAAGTACAAACCGCGTGTTTTTTTTGGTTTTTTATATTTTTATGAAAGTGCACATATGCCTACATAGATCATAGAATGGAAGATAAAAACAACAACATCAAGAGAACATGGACTACAAAGGGCGTGTAGGTGCTATTGAGCTGTGCCGGTGAGGTGAAGTGCGCTCCCCCGACCAATGGTCTCGGGATCAAGGCGCACATCACGCACCATGGGGGAAGGGGAGAGAAGAAAGACTGTGTGTGAAAAGTGAGAACCTGAGAGCCAGACAATGATAGAGAGAGAGAGAGAGAGAGAGAGAGAGAGAGAGAGAGAGAGAGAGAGAGAGAGAGAGAGAGGGAGAGGGAGAGGGAGAGGGAGAGGGAGAGGGAGAGGGAGAGGGAGAGGGAGAGGGAGAGGGAGAGGGAGAGGGAGAGGGAGAGGGAGAGAGAGAGGAAGAGATGGGGGGGGGGGGTGAGTGCCAGATTAGTTCAGGAAACTATGGCAATGGACCAACAGCTGCGTTGCTTTCAGTAGGGGGGGGGGGCAATACGGAGAAGTTAGATCGGAGCTGCTGCCAGGCAGAGCAGTGTGCAGGCACTGGATCAGCGAGAAAGGGGCCACAAAAAGCAGCAAAGAAGGAAGGAAGAGAAGAAATAAACATTAACGCAAAACATTCTGCACTGAGGTGATTCGAGAGCTCTAGGGAGCAAGGTCCAGTTCAGTGGGGTGAAGACAAGGTGATCGTTGTGGGACCGGAGAATGGAACATCGTCAAATTTAGCCATGGAATGCTGTCGCCCACAACCAATCCTGGCGCATCAGCGTGTTGTGCAGCCCTAGCCCTGCAAGCACTGGGCTGCGGAATGATGCAAGGCACAAACTTGAGTGACAACGCGACTTGATTTCTTTGAGCAGTACTGTAGAACGGGTAATTTTAGCGACGTAAAAAACCCTAGCGAATTTAGCGATCGACTCATTTTCGATTTTCGGTAAAGTTCCAAGTCGCTAATCCGCTGAGACATTAGTAATGCACTGGTGATCCGTGAGTAACATCGCTGCAAATCGCTAAAATAAAACGTCGCTAACCGGTTGACAATGAGAAAACGCTAAAATTAATAGTCGCTAAAATTACCCGTTCTTCAGTACTGTAATATCTTGCCCTGTCCTAAAATAGAACTCAACGGTCTGTCTATCACATGGTTAGCATTTTACCGTGCGAAAAAAGAAAAAAATCTTCTCAGAGTCGGTTACAGCTAGCAGGGATGCTTTTTTTGGATTTATAAGTGTTGATGCGCCGGATTACGGCACATACCAACCCGTTTGTCTGTGGGTCTCCGGCCATGGACAACGTAGTCAAGGACCTCTCGTCTCAGGGTGTCGCCGCTCTACTCGCAGCAAATAAATTCTCAGTCTCATGAAGCTCCAATCCGAAGACGACTCCTCAAACAAGCGCGAGTGCACTCGTGCTTTTCTTGGAGCGAAAATCATGCAAAACACAACCTTTGCGTGAACATTCGCAGAAATATTCGCTAGCCCAGACGCGAAAATCATTGCGAACGGTTCCTTTGCAAAACCTTTCTAGTAATAATAATAATAATAATAATAATTTTACAAGAAGTCGGAGGCGGATAATACTTTAATAACGAAGGTACGTGTTGGGTCGTAAGTATCCACGCAAACACACATCCAGTCAAAATAAGGCACTTGTCAAAGTATCCCGAACGTTTTCGGTCCCTTCTCATCAAGGATTATACAGGGAATGGCTCAAGTTGAAAAGACTAAAACTTATATAGCGTAAAGATATGAGATAACAACACTGGTGACAAGGTGGAAAATTATCAAGTTCAGCACGACAAGAAGGGACCGAAAACGTTCGGATACTTTGACAAGTGCCTTATTTTGACTGGATGTGTGTTTGCGTGGATACTTACGACCCAACACGTACCTTCGTTATTAAAATAATAATAATAATGATACTATTCCCCCGCTGGTTCCCCCTTTCCTACAGATGCGAAAAACTAGTCTATTTTAGCTATTAAATATAACGCAAACCCTGATTTATGGTATTTATTGCCTTGTGTGCATGTATAGGTTGCTATGGAGACTGGGCTGACATCCGTCAGGCTTCTAGCCATGGCTGACAGTGACGTTACACGTGTAGACGTTGGTCGCCTGCGTTCAGTCGCCAAGTCCGACAACCTGCTGACCGTGTGTCCGTCAAGGGCACTCTGTGTCGCCGTGGAAACGTAACGTATTGTTGCCGTACGCACGCACGCATGCACGCTAACTGACGGAGATGCGACATGTTGAGCATCGGGAGTTTGTTGAGAGCTATAAGTAACACTAGTTTCATTGCTCCGGAGTGACCTGTCCCTCTACCCCAGTGGGCATACCCTGCATTCAGCCGTACTTGTTTTGACAGAGTCTAGTTGGAAATTCTCTTGAACTCAGTATTTGTTTCTGGTGCCATGCGACTACAAGTACCTATGCGGGCAATGTATGATGTGATGTTTCGATTGTTTTCTTGATAAGAATCCATGTCCATTCCCCAGACCAAACGATACGCACCTCATTGCTCTACTTTTCAATATAAAACTCCTCATGGACACACTCCTCATTGTCATGCCCCTCATTGTCATACCCCTCATTGTCATACCCCTCAGTGTCATACCCCTCAGTGTCATACCCCTCAGTGTCATACCCCTCGTTGTCATGCCCCTCATTGTTGTGCTCCTTGTGGGCCTGTTCTTTCAGTGTCACCTTGATTGTCATGCTCGTTATTGTCGCACTCGTTATTGTCACAATCCTCATTGTCATGCTTGCCGTCTTGTCTATCTGGGAGTAGGTATTTTATTACTCCCTGATCGTACTAGTAGGCCACTGACTTGACAAATACGCTTGGTTGCCTTCATCCACTGTACAATGTACAATGTACAAGGCATTTGTATTTCGTATATACTGAGTGTGAGACTCATGGCCGCCGACACCCTGCCCCTAAATTTATTAAATTTTGTTTCCAGAGACACGAGAGCGATGCTGCCTATTGTGAGTACATCACTATGACAACCACTCTATTTTCGAATCATTTCAAATCTCTCCTATTCACCCGGTGCGATTATTATTATTATTTTCTCACCGCACACAACTACTTGAGCCAATCTATGTACCTTGAGCCATGATTTTTTCTTCTTGTTCCTACTACATATAGCCTACATGCGGCAAGCAAGATCAGAAACAGAGGCAGTTTGTTGTGCTCAGCATGCCGAGCGTGTTCTTGTCGCCATGGTGACGGTGTTATGTCGCGTGTATGTGTATGTGTATGTGTGTAGCGACACAGCATGAATGACAGAGGCGACAGGCTGTGTGTAGCTGTGCGTAGCTGTAACTTCAAAGTTACACGCATCTCAACGATCGTCGGAGCGCCGTTGCCAGGCCCGCTCGAAAAAAGGGCTTCAGTAGTGAATGCCGCTGTCTGATGATCGCTGAAATGTGTGAAACTTGAAGTAACCACTGTTAGTTACAACAGCAGACATGTCGACAGTGAACATAGTAAAATAAATAAATATATGAAACACAGCCTTTCTCCTCGGGTATTTGTGTACACTGCTCTGCACAGTACGGAGGATTAGCAAGACGAAATTCGCGTTCGCAAACATTTTTCAGTTCGCAAACTGGATTGCGGGCTTTCGCATTTTCGTTCGGAAAAGTAGTCGGAACACGAATCGCGGATTCGTGTCAGGGCAGTCATAAATTTACCACGCTGTACTGTCTGTACACAATGTACGTCGTGTCAAAGTCATGCATGTGCTAATTCTGTTTGCTAATCCTCATGATGCGAATTCCATCACTGAGTTCGACTTTCCTTGGAGAGCGAACGCGAATTTCGTCTTGCAAATCCTCCGTATTAGTTCATCAGTCACTCTGCTTCAGTCCCTCTGTAATACCCCCAGTCCCTCTAGTACCCCAGTCTGTCTGCTGTACCCCACCCCTTGCAGTACCCCCAGTGACTGTACCTAGCCCTTGGCGGATTATGCTGGCATAATATTTGTCATAATCTTGGGATTTCGTGAAAACATTATGCTCCGGCATAATATACGGATTCCAACGCGTAAGGTCGGCATAATCTTTCGGTTTAGACAAAAATTATGCTTAGGGGCATAAAACAGCTTTGTCAGATAGCCTGCAGATGTTTTTTTTAAATACCCCAGTTACGACTTCTTGTCTGTACCCCCCCCCCCCCCCTAATATATCTATAGGGCCCTTTGTAGCAGTGATGCAATAAAATAATGGTATTTTCTTCGAGCGAATATTGGCTCGAATATTGCTTTGACGAACGAACGAATATTCCATATCAAGTTCTTCTGAAGTGGCTCAGTCACTTCAATCAGACCCAACAGTTATGTTGTGTACAGATAATGTGGATACAGTGGCAAGATCCACTGATGAAAGAGCAATTTTGACCAAAGAACAAGCTTCAAAGTTCTCAGAAGATAATAATGTCTTCCCTGTCATCATCCTCACTGTGACACTACAGAGGAGATCATGGTCGGAGCTGCAGAATACAGCAACGCAGTGCGAATTCTCGAGAATAAGTATATTCGAATGTTACTGCTTGCTTTCGAATACTATTCTTTCTGGTGTCGCCATTGCATCACTGCTTTGTAGTACCCCGGTCCCTCTGTGGTACCCCCCCCCCAAATCCCTCTGCGGTACCCCCAGTGACTGTACCCCCCCCCATCCCTCTGTAGTACCCCGGTCCCTCTGTGCCCACGGTCCCTCTGTAGTACCCCCAGCCCCTCTGCGCTAGGGTCCGGCGGATTCTGCCGGCAGAAAAATTGGCAGAATTCGGTACTTTTTCTGGTAAGTTTCATGCATTTTTGGTATGTGGATAAAAAAAATGGAGCAGTATTCGAGGAATTGCCCGCCATAATGTTTGTATGGTTCTGCCATTTTCACTGCTTTTCAAGCAGAATCTGCCACCTTTTCGAGCAGAATCCGCCGGTCCCTACTCTGCTCCCCCGTCCCTCTGTTGGTCAGCGGTTGCCATACCTCATATTTGCATAGGCGATCCGGGGCTTTGTCATTTCTGAATGAGTGACTTTGGATTTTCTAATCACCTTTCCAATTACGTTATCATGGATTTATCAATAAAGTTCTTAAAAGTTCTACCTCAGTCCCTCTGTAATACCCCCCCCCCCCCCCCGAAGTCGCCGGGAGGGTTGAGGGCTCTTCAAAAGGAATCTAGGAAGATCACTCAATTGGCTATTGAACCACCCAACGCCCGACACCCCCTGAAATCTGGGTGGACTTGGCAACGGTCCCACTTATTTACCCACAATACCTCAGTAAGTAGGTGAGGACAAGGTGCAGAAAAAAGATTGCCGGCATCAAGGTATCCGTCCCGCGACCTAACCGCATTTGCAACCGAATTTGCCAATGGCCCAATGCCCCCAGTGAAGGTAATAATACTTGCCACTAACGTGGGTGGCTAAATCAGAGTGGATCTGATAATTATACGCTTCACTGATACAGTCGCAACCACTATTTCGTACGGTGATACAGTATTGCACACAGAAATCCAGTCACGGTGTCACTCAAGTACGTGCCGAGCGTTGCGCAGCCCTAGACCTGCGAACACTGGGCTGCGAAATTATGCAAGACGCAAGCTTGAGTGACGCGACTGGATTTCATTGAGCAGCACCGTTGTATTATGAACCCTGAAACCGCCCGTTGCCAACAGACCCAACGCTATCTGGCATAAGCAAGAAGCACAGCAGGCAAGTCTGAAAATGCACTCACATGGACACACACCACACACACGCAGGCGCGCGCACCCGTGCACACACACACACACACACCTCAGACCTCAGACCTGCCCATCGCGGAAGCGATGATAGCGAACAGCTATGTTAGACATAGCAACTTGTGCTGGGATCACACACACACACACACACACACACACACACACACACACACACACACACACACACACACACACACACACACACACACACACACACACACACCTTGGACCTTGGACGCGCTGCCATATTCTGGCTATGCAGACCCCATGGGGGGTTGAGCAGGTTCGGAACAGTAGGGGCGATGACGGGATAGGTCCTGTGGTCTACTGAAACGCCGACCGCAATTGCAAACGATACAGAAGGAGCTACGGTCTGTGTTGGTTGCTCTGGCCGAGCCACGGCTGCACTTGTGACGTTTCATGCCTTGGCGCGATAGCGCACAGCGGTTGCAGCGGGCGCAGTGGAAACTGCAGCGTTCGCAGGACATATTGTTTGTAACCGGTGACTCAAGTGTGTCAGAAGATGCCTCTGCTGGTGATGTTGGTGGCGAGCACTTGTGTCGGGCAAATCCACCCTTGCTCCGGAACCATCTGTCGCACTGATCGCAGTGACAGCTTCCTGGCTGTTGGCTTACGGGTAGGGCACGCGTAGCTGTACACTTGTGTCGCTTCCTGTCACTTACACGACTGAAGGAGCGGTGACAAGTTTGGCACACAACCGGTGATGGTCGAGGTCTGTTCTGCTTGTCTGGCAGACAACGGTAAGCCTGGCGCCATTTGGAGCGAGAAGAGGTGGCCACTTCATACCAGTCGTCAAGTGGTTTGACGTCACTCCGAACAGTCTCGCCACCTTTTCCGCGGACCATGGGCAGGTCTCTTGTTTGAAAACGAACCGAACAGTAGAGCCTTCGGGATGCGCTCATCCTCCATCCTTGCCACATGACCAAGCCACTCAAGGCGACGTCTGCTGAGACGACACTCCATGTCCAAGGTATCTCCCCAGCGCTCCAGAACTTCAACATTAGTTATCCTGTCATTCCATACATCTTGACGACTGATGCCCAGAATGGTGCGGACACAACGGAGATGAAAGACAGACAACGCATGAACATCAGCCTGTAGCGGTACCCAGCATTCGGACCCATAGAGCAGAGTCGACAGCACACAAGCATTGTACACTGACCGTTTGATGGATATTGTCAGTGTTACATCGTGGAATATCGATTTCTTCAGAGCGCCAAACGCTTTGGCAGCTTGTGCAATCCGGGATGTGACATCATCATGACATCGGCCGTTGCTGTGTATGTTGGATCCAAGGTAACGAAAAGACGACACATGGGCAATCTCCATAGTTCGAATCGCGAGCGGCTCTAGATCGTCGTTAGAGATGTTGGGGCCAGAGACCATGAACTTGGTTTTGGTGGCACTGACGGTGAGGCCAAAATCGCTGCATACATCCACAAATACCTCCAAGGCTGAAACTGCGGCCTGGCGTGTCGCGGCCACAAGAGCGGAATCATCAGCAAACTGACACTCTGTCAGCTCCAGGGATCTATCACGGCGGCTACGGTGGTGGAGTAGCTTCCCATCTGGCTCGAAGAAGACCTTTGCGCCTACACCAGGGATAGGCTGCACGTGCTGGCGCCAACAATGCATCACTGCCCACATGAAGATGTTGAATAGGACAGGGGCCATGCAACATCCCTGCCGCAAGCCGTTCGTCACAGGGATGGGGTCAGCTTCAACATTCGACAGACGGAGCTAGAGTTGCGGTCATGCCGTCATGGAATGCACGGATAACAGCGATCAGCTTCTCGGGGACGCCAGCTTTTCGCAGTACTAACCACAGACACTCTCGCACACACACACACACACAAACACACACACACACACATATACGCACATTCGTGCTATTCGGATGCCCGGCAAATGCCTCGCGAGCCTGGCCAATGCCAATGCTCACAACTCGTAGCAATAATCCATAGTGCCACAGCAAAGCAGGACAAAACACATGGACAAACACATGGACAAAACACATGGACAAACACATGGACAAACACATGGACAAAACACATGGACAAACACACTACGAATGGTAGTTACCGAAGACGTTACTTCGAAGTATAAAGAGGGTGAATGGTAAACCGGGGGGGTATCTATTGCAGGATGAAGGCGTGAAGACAAGCAGCCTTGTCCATATCCTGCATACATACACTAGATGTAGTTAGCACCTAGGTACTGTGTGATCATGTAGTACATGTAGCGGGAGTATGGTATACGCTGTGAACATCACAGCACAGACCATACACACATACTGCCTGTCAGGAGGATGGTTATGCTGTGAACATCACACCACAGACCACACACACATACTGCCTGTCAGGACGAACGTTCAGGAATATTTAGGAGTACAAGTAATATTTGCAAAAGTTCTATTCTGAAAAAAATATGTATACTATTTTCTAGGCGCTGGGTTTGAGCTGATACATGCGCACATACACCCACACACACCGACACACACATACACGTACACACACCGACACACATACACGTACACACACGCACTCATACACACACAGATACACACACGCACACATCTATATGGCAGGTAAGCGAGTCACGACTGCGTTCTTCCATGGATTTGGGCGGGTTGGGAGGTATGTGTGTATGTAAGGGGGGGGGGGGGGTGGCAATGAATCTTGCAAGCAATTTAGAGTTTTCATTTTAGCTTTCTAAGTAGAATATCATGCATGTCCATCATCGTAATCAACAAATCCATCTCTCTCGCATCCATTATGATCCTGGGCAAATCCAGGGGAAGAAATATAAATGTCTACAAGTCTCTCTGCGCCACGGCACTCAGCTGGCGGGAACAGTGCGTCAAGGAACAAGATGACAATGCCACCACCGTCCTCGCTGCTGCAGCCACTGCAATACAGTAATACGCTGAGCGAAGATGGTTGCACCATGGCAGCAGAGTGTCGCCTGCCGCAGACGAAGCGGTGGTTGCCCGTGACAACGGAGGGTGCGAACCATGGCAACGACACGGGAGCCATGGCAACCAGATCAAGCAGAGAAGGTCATGCGGTGGTGGTGGTGGTGGCAGCATGACTGTGCGCCGTATACACCATTGCCTTGGCCCCTCACCAACACTGTACTAGCACTAACATCATATCGAGCAGCAGCAGCAGCATCGTGAGTAATGCCGATCTGAGCAATGCGGCAGCGTGCCTAGCAGGAGCAAGAATTCTCCGCTGGCTCCTCGTCAATGCGGCCGGGCGCACTCTCTATGGCCTGTTTGATGACCGGGTCCATGTTATCCAAGTCGTTATGGTCCAGACTTTCTAACATCTTGTCAAGGACACTGTCCACCAGGGATGTGAATGCTTCCGATACGTCTGTACAAGCACACGTACACAGAGAGACAGACAGAGAGACAGGCAGGCAGACAGTCAGACAGACAGACACACACACAAACACACACACACACGCACAGACACACAAATACACACACACACACACACACGTTCTCGCGCGCCCGCCCGCACGGCCGCACGCACACACACACACACAATCACACATAGATGCTCAACAAAAAACAGCATGACACCAGCACATCTACACACAGTATCTACTAAACCAAAAGTGAGAAGATTGCTGCTGTTCATGATACTCATTCAACGGCCAACCTTTGCCTTCACTATACAGTGTACCGTATCTCCCCGATTATAAGTCCCATTCGATTATAAGTCGCATTCGATTATGAATCTCACTTTGATTATAAGTCTCACTTGGATTATAAGTCCCATTCGATTATACTTCCTCCGTATACAAAAACTTCGTGACTTTTTTTGAACGGTGTTTTTGAGCAAGAATCTGTTCAACGAACGGCGCCAAAGGCTGTCATCGACAACCCACGTTCATGTCGAGGTTAGTTTGGTTGATCCCGAACATATTCTCCACGGACGCTATGCGTGTGAGGACGTTGCCGACAGAAACTCAAGAGTCAAATGGAAAAAAACTCACACTTACTTGCTCGAAACTGACACAGTGACGAAGTGTGGGTCGTGGCTGGAACACGGACTCACGCGGCACTCGCTGCCCTGAAACTGGCCAGGCTCGTATACTTGCGGTGCGCGGCCCCATAGATCTGCGCAGCGTGAGAACATAGATTTGTTTTGCTCGCACGGCAAGATGAAACATTTCAGTCGTCGTGCAACCAGCGCAGACTCAGGATCAGAATGTCGATGGCCTGGCCTTCTTCGCCTCTCTCCAGTCAGACGTCTCCTTTGTCGCCAAGGGGAATCGCAGGGACCTCCTCGAAGCCATTGTAGAATGCTTGGGAGGATTATCCTGGCGAGAAAATGCGAAGCCTGTGGATGTGCTTGTACGACTCGTTTCACGGCATAATGGAGGTCGCGGGTTAGAACGACTGAATATAGTCGACACCGATTCGTACACAGCTCTAGAGATGAAGAGGACGTAGCCAAAGTCCAGCGTCGGACCATCACTGCAGGTCACAAGAATCTGAACGAAATGCGAGCGGAAGCAGCGACTGTTGGCGATGCGGAGACAGCGTCGTCAGGTGACAATGACATGAGCGACTAAGACTCTGAAAAAACTCAATCTCATTCGTCTGAGTTGCTTTTTTCTTTGTATATAGCTTGTAAACAGGTTAGACAATGCCACGAGTGTTATTCCGAGTCAAACGGAACCATTCCAGAGCTGTGCGCAGCTTTCAACAAAAGTCACGAAGTTTTTGTATACGGAGGAAGTAAATCTCACTCCGATTGTAAGTCGCATTCGTTTGTAAGTCTCACTGGATTGTAAGTCGCACCCCCATTTCCCCATTTCCAGTGCCATGCCATAATTATTGTGTTGATATGTTCACTTCAGTAGTACATGTACAGTCCATTCATCGGAAACCAGTCCTGGTGATGTCCTAGATAGGACATCACGGAACCCAGCATGCCCCAGCATACATGCTATGCTGTTCCCATAGTAATCGTGACACGTGACTCAAAACTTTGTGTCGCGTCCGAGGAAGATGAACATGTCGCACTCAAAACAAACGCAACGAAGGCCTTTCGTCTCAAAAGTAATTAGTTGTCCTTCTCCTGGCGGCTTGCCTCAAGCGAGTCTAGATTTGTATCTTGCCTCTTGCCTTCACGAATTTTATTTTCCTTGTTGTGGAGTACGCCTGGACAAAGGAATTGGCAAGCGAATCGTTTTGGTCGCATTGAAAATTGCAAGTGCACAAGAGGATTGGCGAAGCAATTTGTGTTCGCACTTTCAGCAGAGCAGTAGCTGCTGCTGCGATAAAGTTTTTGCTTTCGCCGTTGGTTTCAGGCAGCAGAAGGATCTGGCTGAAAGCGATGGCGATACGTCCATGACCACCACGTCCTGGGTTGATATCCAAGAAAGACCGTCCAAGGTCCAGTTTTAGCCAAGAGCTGTCGTATCCAAGAAATCAAAAACGCCAACAGCAAGCTTTGGCCAAACAATATCTTCCAGGCAGTAATTTACGGGCCTAGCGCCTGCTGCCTCGTCTTCCTCCTCTGCATGACCAGGTTTGGGGCGAAATGAACGCACAGGGCGGGAAGAAACAATCCAAAGGCAAAACATTCAAAATAATTAGAACCAATCGTTTCCAAAGAAGCCCCGCGTGGCTACGAGAAACCCCACATGAAATCCCCAAACGAAAACGGCCATTCGGTCGGGTATTCAATGGCGAATCGAATATACACTACCTCAATCCCCGCCGATGTCTGATATTCTCCGCCTATTCCCTCAAACTTGACCAATTCGGAAAGAAATCCATCGCCATTACGATCGTGCATCCTCCACATACATTCAGAAATGCTCACGCAGCACTTCTTTTCATCGCGTGTGCGCGACCGACGCTTCCATGACAACTCTGGGACAGGTAACCAATCAGACTCATTCAGAGTGCGATGTCCTAGATAGGACATCTCCCCGACTGGAAACAGTCCCGCTGGCTTTTGAAAGTCGGATTTGGGCCGAGTAGAGGATCAAAAACCCACTTTAAATCTAAAAAATCTGGGTTTTGGATCTGCTTCTCCATACATTATGCCAGGGCATACCGGTCCTAATTTTGCAAAACCTGGCTGAATTTCTATTTCCCTGTTCTTGGACTTTTCTGGCCTCAAATGTGGCAAAGAGTAATTGCACGGGTCACACAATGCAGGATGTACTGTTGTTTTCATTATATCTATGACTATGTGCGGGAGACACCAAAAAGTTAGGGTGCCAGTTTCCGATGAATGGACTGTAAGTCATGGTCGACTGTAACGTCGCACCCCCTTTTGTTGGCCCTGGAGTTTAGTGGCCCAACGGGTTAATTAAGTGCGACGTATATTGGGGGAAATCCGGTGTGGTAATGATATAGCCAGTCCTAGACAAGAAGCCTGATAGTAGAGGAGAAAGATAGTGTAAAGCTGGTTTAAGGTGCAGGAAGTCAGGTGGGATACAGTAAAGGAGAGGTGATCGTGTTGCGTAGTGCGTGTCAGTTCATACCAATATTCTCTTTAGCAGAAGTTTCAAAGTACTGGATCCGTAGCTCTTCTGCTAACGACTCTGCCTCTGATTTCGATACCTTCACACACACAAGCAAAGACATACACAAACACACACACACACACACATGCACGCGCGCACACACACAAACACACACACACACACACACACACACACATGCACGCGCGCACACACACACACACACACACACACAAGCACACACACACACACGCATGATGAATATATTGGCCTTAGTACAAGCGTTGGTTCAATAGCGATTAGTAGCTAGTGACAGGACACGGAATAGAATGATCCACGAGCGCGATTCCCACCCAGCACCCCTGTCTTTCCGGGATAGTGCCCTTTGGATTAGGCTACCGGGGATCACACACACCCGTGGTTCCTTCTCACTACAGGTTAGTAACCAGGGGCAACAAGAGGATGGTTGGTAACCAGGGCAACAGCAAGGATGGTTGGTAACCAGGGCAACAGCAAGGATGGTTGGTAACCAGGGCAACAGCAAGGATGGTTGGTAACCAGGGCAATGCAAGGATGGTTGGTAACTAGGGCTGAAACGATTATACCGATTACTCGTTTATTGCTAAGAAAAATCGAATTCGAACGATTATTGATTATTGCAGAACTAAACGGCTAAACAACAGAGTAATTTTGATGTACCGAAATGCGTTGCGCGTGTACTCAAAGATCGATGTACAATGTACTCAAGTACGTAGATCTACTCTGCGCCGCGCTTCTACTACTACTAGTACTAGTACTAGTAGTAGTAGTACTAGTACTTCGAGGTACATGTACTATGCGCGTTTACAGTCAGTTCTAGTACTCGCGATCGCACTCAGCTTCGTCCTTGTACTCGTACTCGCAGATCTACAGCATGCACCATTGTGTACATCTAGAGGATCTTGGCATTCTTGCTGCACTGGCATGCGACTTGTCATGCGTCGCACTACATCCGCGTACCCATGTCACTAGTTTCCGGATGGCTTTGCATGAGTTGTACAGGTAGGTCCGTCGGTCGGCACTTCGCTTGTCGAACTCGGAAACGCTCGCCAGTTGTGCTTTGTCGAACTAGAGACGATGGCGTCCTTTCCCCGTCGTTCTCGCTCGTCGGTTTGGCAGTACTTTGAGCGAGGTAATGAGAAGCACAAGTGCAAGTTGTGTCAAAAAACGTACACTCGGCAGAGTGGAACTTCAAACCTGTTTGCTCATTTGAAGTCTGCCCACCCCAAGGAGTTTTCGGCGACCCAGAGTTCGGAAAGTACTGGCAGTGCTGCGACGGAGTCAGAATCGTCAGCTGGGCCTGTAAGACTTACAAAGAGAGCTCACGGAACTCCTGCTGGACTGGATCGTAGACTCGTGTCGGCCGCTGTCGACAATCGCAGACTCAGGCTTGGTCCGCGCTATTAGCTTCATGGAGCCAGGCTATTCGGTCCCATGTCGAACGCATATCGCGAGCCTCCTCAAGAAGCGTCATGCAGACGCCAAGAAGGAACTGGCACAACTGATTAGCTCTGCTTCTGGAGAAGGTGTCACAATGACGACGGACGGTTGGACTTCCTCCGCGACGCAAAGTTACGTTACGTACACGGTCCATTTCATCACATTCGAGTGGACTCTGGTCAGTGCTGTGCTGCAGACGTCGTTGTTCCAAGGAAGGCACACAAGTGTTCGCCTCGTGGACCATTTCACTGAGATGCTGAATAAGTTCAGTATTCCAAGGACTGCTCTCATAGCAGTGACACATGACGAAGCCTCGAACATGGTCTCCGCAGCCAGGATGCTGGAGGATGAGGCAGGTTGCAGCAGTCAAGTGTGCATGGCGCATCGACTTCAAACTGCCATCCGCCGTGCAGTTGACAAGACAAAGGGCCTGGACAAGGTGCTGTCAGCTGCCAGGAAAGTCGTAGGCCACTTCAAGCACTCCGCTACTGCTTCGGAGTTGCTGATGAAGAAGCAGCAGCAGATCAACCAGTCTTCCACCACCAAGCGGCTGATACAAGATGTAAGCACTCGATGGAACTCGACATTTTATATGCTCGAGCGCCTGTTAGAGCTCCGTACGCCGCTGACTGTCTTGCTGTCCGATCAATCCTGCACTCCTAAGAAGGAGCACCGTGAGCTTCTTCTCAAGGAGAACCAGTGGGCAGCTGCGGAGAACATAGTTGCAACACTGAAGCCGTTCGAGCTAGCAACTACAGTTGTCAGTGGGCAGAAATATGTCACGCTATCGCTCATGCTGGCGATCGTTGTGAAGTTGGATGCAGGTGTCCAAGCTATTGCCAGGAACTCGGATTCTGGCCTTGCACGGTCCTTTGCGGGAGCCTTGCACACAGCGTTGCAAGAGAAGTTCAGCCTCTTGAATGTCCTGCCAACTGCCCATCCCGTGATTGCCAGTGCGTTGGACCCTCGGTTCCGCAACCTTTCCTTCCTGGATGCAGATGACCGCCCCATCACCCACAAGCATGTGCTTGTGGCAGCAGTTCGCCACAGGCAGGAGTCATCTGATGCTGAACAGGTGATTGTTGAACCATTGGCAAAGCGAAAGCCAGTAAGCAGCCTCAGTCAACTCCTGGCAGCTCCAGTGCATGATTCCGATGAAGTATCCAACGATGATGCCGATGAGGACGCCGCCAAGGTGGAAGAGCGCATTGAGCTCCAACTCGCTGTTTACTTCACTGAAGAGGTAGTGTCGCTGGAGACAGATGTTCTGCAGTGGTGGAGGACCCACAGGGAGCGGTTCTCTGATGTTGCACCACTGGCCAGACGGTATCTCTGCATCCCCGGCACATCAGTGCCATCCGAAGCAGTATTTTCGGCAGCTGGTATCCTGGTGAATAAACTGCGCAGCTCTCTGTCACCAGATTCTGTTGACGCCCTGATCTTTCTGAGAAAGAACACCTTGCTGAAGGCATCTCGGCATCAAGCTATTGCTTCAACCACCACTGATGTTGACCGGCGTGAAGTCTTGGCTGAGGAAATCGAGGCGGCTGACCAGTCTTTGCTGGAGTAACTTGTACTTTCTTCTAAGCTACGGGTGACCACGAGTGAAGTGTGGGACTGCTTATTCACAAATTCACACAGAATCACATTGTTTCATGTTCTTTTTCCAGGTTTTTGTGTCAATTGACATTTTTTTCATCGCGTTTTCGATTTCTTTTCCACTTTTTGCTTGAGATTGTGAAATTCTGAAACATGTTGTTAAGCCGTTAAGCCGTTCGTTATCTTAATGGTTAAGCCACTAAGGTGAAACCCACAATCGTTTCAGCCCTATTGGTAACCAGGGGCACTACAATGATGGTTGGTAACCAGGGCAACACAAGTATGGTTGGTAACCAGGGCAACACAAGGATGGATGCATACAAAGGTTACACAGTATACCCAGTCAATGTCAATGCCATACACACATACACACACACACATACACACATACACATACACACATACACGCATACACACATACATACACACATACACACATACACACACACACATACACACACATACACACACACACATACACACACACACACACACACACACACACACACACACACACACACACACACACACACACAGTGATTAATGGGTATCATTGTGGGTCACAATACGTTTACACGGTGAAAATAGTCTCGCAATCTATACATTCGCATGAAAAGATGCAAATCCACGCCATCAAGTAGACACTTCCTCTCATCTATCAAACGTTTTCTTTCCCCTCAACAGAACATGACGCACCTGCCGCGCCCCAATCTCAGCGAGATCCTTCTTGTTGCCAACCAGCACCATCTGAGCGTGTGTCCAGGAACTGCTGGTGATGTCTGAGCACCTAGCCAACAAGTGTTTGTGTGAGTGTGAGTGTGTGTGTGTGCGTGTGTGGGTGTGTGTGTGTGTGTGTGTGTGTGTGTGTGTGTGTGTGTGTGTGTGTGTGTGTGTGTGTGTGGATGGGTGTACAAGGTCAACGCACACAAACGCACGCATACAAACAAACGCCAATTAGAAAAATTACAATTACTACAATCATCATCACCCAAGCTAAACAGGTTGCAGTAGGGCGTACCCAAGCAACAACTGCTTCCACCGGCCCTGAGCTGGCATTTTAAGCACAGTCGACTCCACTTACAACGAACTCGTATTATTATAGCGAATTTCGTGATTTAGCAAACCACTGTCCATGTCCCTGTTTGAACCCATTCGAAATTGACCCGTTGTAGTGAACTGGGCAGCTATGCACTAATACCTAACATCTTTAACTTACACAAGACACAACAACAGAGACCTAGAACTTTCCCGTGACGCTGAGCTTCATATTTTAAAACACACACACACTCATCAGACACGGAACTCGGAGTCAAGAGAACGCTTTTTGGTCTCTGTTGTTCTGCCTTGTGTGGTACGCTCTGCCTTGTGTGGTACGCTCTGCCCTTTTTGAGGTATTGAGCACTACAGTCCATTCAGAAAAAGATGGACTTCTAGCTTTTGGCCATAAATGGGTCAAACGTTGAGTTTTTTTAGAATTTTTTTCCTGCAATCCCCTATGGAATCCTCTTCCAATTATGTTTCTAAATTTTTTTTTGTCCAAGAAGCAAGGCATAACAAGAATAGGATTTCGGCCAGGTTTTGCCCGGAAAGCACTGAATTGGGAAAAACCATAAAAATCCAGGCCGTTTGACCCCGCCTGGAACAGTGCATCGTGCGGTTCGAACCCCAGTTCAGGTGCTCATTTTGGGCCTTTTGCGCCCTGGTGCTAAATCCCCTGATTCCTGCCACCGGCCGCCCTGCCATACGCAATAGTCCCAGTATGCATTTGAAAATTATCTAATTTCACTCACCAGTTTCGTAATTATTTCTTTTTGGTCTCATTGCAAAGCTACAGATGTCCTCTCTCTGAATATCGCCACTAGACACCCAGCAGGAGCAACAGAATCGCCTTCAAGCCTGTTGAGAGCTGCCCTATTGCGCCTGAACGAGATTCTGTACCCACCTCCACAAATTGTATCGTTTCTCAATTTTTACTCAACGTAGAACGATGATTTAAAGTCCTGCAGATTCATGAAGCTCAAGCGATTCATTTGATCTCTACATCGCATGCGCTGTGCAGCGATGAGTCACTGGGAAAGTCCCCGTTTGAGGCACGCCGACGCACTTTGAAGCGCTCTGCGTACAAATTTTCGAAACAATTTCAAGCGCATCCGCGTTTCGTTCTTCGATACTCAGTGATTCCGCACCGCGCTATATCAAACGACATACCACTGGAAAGCTTATTCTCTCACCTTTCCAAAGAGCCATCATTCGCGACAATCCGATAAAGGACAATGGAGTTACGACAATTTGAACAGTGATGTATATGCAGTGTACAAGTATGCGCTTTTACTTGACGCACATATGCGTCATCAGGAAATCAGGGTATGACGTTTTGACGCACATGTGCGGCATCAGTCCGCAAAGGGTTAGTGGCAGGTGGTCCTTACCTAGATGTTTGCACCGCACAACCATAGGTATGAATGTGAGACCGTCCGTGCCTGGCAAAGTGGTCTGTAGTACCAGGCTGGTCGCTAGTCACGGTGGTCTTTAGTTACAGGTTTTACTGTAGTACCAGGCTGGTCGCTAGTCACGATGGTCTTTAGTTACAGGTTTACTGTATTCGCAGCAAGGACGTCAGATACTTTGTCTTCATCAACTTACCAGTTTCTGACACTATCGAAACTCTCCCTGTTCATGATATCGAACACGAGCAGGAATCCCATAGCACCGCGGAAGTAGGCGGACGTGATTGCCTTGTAGCGTTCCTGACCGGCCGTGTCCCAGATCTGTAGCTTTATCTTCTTACCCTGACGTACTACGGTCTTGACCTGAATACCGGGCGGTACACACACACACACACACACACACACACACACACAAACACACACACACACACACGCGCGTGCGCGCGCGCACAAACGTGAGAGAGACACAGAGAGAGGGAAAGAGACACACATACACACACACACACACACACACACACACACACACACATAATAATCCGTGGTGCTTGTACTGAGTGCGCAGTTCGCTCTACCCATTGCGATAATAACAAGCTGGCAGTGGTTATCAACACGATTACATAGCCCCTTGTATAGTCCGCAAATGTCTAACTTCACTTTTGTCCTTGCAGAAGTGATCATGAATGCAATAGCAGCATGCATCAGCGTCTGTGAGAAAACAGTTCCTTATTCCTGTAGAGTCAGACCTCGCTTATCCGGTCCTCTTTTATCCGGACCCCTCGCCATCCGGAAGAAAATCGTTAGTTACTGATTTTAAGTGATTTACAGCACATGCCATGCATACATACAGTATGCGTGTTCAATTATCCGGTTCCCTCGCCTATCCGGATAATGTTTTGTGAAAAACGGATGTGTGCGGTTACGCAAGGTCTCACTGTACCTTAAAGTCAATGCCAACTGTGGATATGAAGGCCTCGGAGAAGGAATTGTCCACGTATCGGAAAAGCAGAGCCGTCTTCCCCACACCAGAATTTCCTGCAGGTGATGCATGTGCAGGAACACACACATTAATAGAGAGGTCAAGATAAAAATAATAATAATAATAACTTTATTAGGATGACCCAGATGCACGTTGTCTCCGACTTGAGGTGCAATTTCACGTCAAATTTGGCATAAAACTCCAAATTTCGACGGGAGCTGCAGGTCTCTCGCGTTGTTTTTCGACGCGCAGTCCAAATAAGGCGAGCTGAACTTTCGCGTCATGTCAGAAATAACGTGCACCTTTTAACCTCTCTAATAACAGGCAGAAGGCATTTGTATAACCGTCAGAAGAGTGGTAACCGTGACAACCGCCGTACAAACATACGGGCAGGGTGCAGAGACTGGTGTAAGTAAATAGATGTGCACACATCCACATACAGACACAGACACAGATACACGCACACACACGCTTACTTATTTCCACCTGCCTATCGCTGAATCAATGATAGCGAACAAGCATTGTTTACAGACATACTGGTAGCAACTTGTGCTGGGGTTACACCATTCAACAGCTTGCAAGGCTGAAGACTTGACCGCCACTGAATTTAGCCAGGTCTACATCACACAGCTGATTGCCCCCCCCCCCCCCTCCACACAACCGCTCGTGCACGCAGGTATACACACGCACACACGCACGTACACACATGCACACGCGTGCGGCAACACATGGGAGGGAGGGAGAGGAAGGGGGAGAGAGAGAGAGAGAGAGAGAGAGAGAGAGAGAGAGAGAGAGAGAGAGAGAGAGAGAGAGAGAGAGAGAGAGAGAGAGAGAGAGAGAGAGGGAGGGAGGGAGGGAGGGAGGGAGGGAGGGAGGGAGGGAGGGAGGGAGGGAGGGAGGGAGAGAGGGAGAGAGAGAGAGAGAGAGAGAGAGAGAGAGAGAGAGAGAGAGAGAGAGAGAGAGAGAGAGAGAGAGAGAGAGAGAGAGAGAGAGAGAGAGAGAGAGAGAGAGAGAGAGAGAGAGAGAGAGAGAGAGAGAGAGAGAGAGAGAGAGAGAACTAACCAACGATGAGGAGTTTGAACATATATTCCCATTCATCCATGGAGGTTGGAACATTCGACGCGGTCGCCATGGCGCAGACTGCGCTCAGATGTTGTTATGGTAACGCTTTAAACTATCACTGTTGTCGGCACGATCAGCAAAACACACACGCGCGCGCACACACACACACACACACACACACGCACACGCACACACACACACACCACAGAAACACACAGAAACACATACACACACATTTGCGTGCATGAAGGATTAAGTGTATGCGTACACACACACACACACACAGCTACATCGATATGCACTAAATTGAGATAAGTACATTGTAAACGTGGGGAGGCTTCCTGCAGCTTCATAAACAGTTTAAAAGAGGAGAGCCCACTCGCTCTCTTCCATTAACACCACGCTTAACTGTCTCACTTCAGATAGCAAGGGAAAGGTACGGAGGTGTCAATTTGACACCTGTTGGTCGGCTGTTCTCGGAGTGCTGAAACTAGTGCCCGTCCTGGGTTAGAGGACCACCAGTGGTACAGGACGCACTGTAAACCGCCCAATATTCACTCGTCACTAAATTTTCGCGACTGCCCAGAACCAGCAAGTTTACGATGGCAAATGTTCGCGGAGCACGCTGGCCACACACATACACAACCGCTGTTGAAGTAGGTCTTGACCATGGTCAGTATTCGCGTTATGTTCTTCTAGCAAAAATAGTCAACATTAGGTAGTTTACAGTATGCATACTATGTATTACCCCCCCCCCCCCCACACACCACCCCCCCCACACACACACCACCCCCCCCCCCCTACACCCACCACCCCCCCCCCCTTTCCCTTCCGCCTCATAACGCCCCGGCTCCACATACAGTGCGGGACACGCTGCTGGAACAAGATATCGCGAGAGTGGTGTCGCGCCTAGCCTGCAACAAAACCTGTAAGATTCGTTGTGCCACATGATCATGTCATTTGTACCGTCATGGACAGGAAGGAAGTCCGGTCGGAGGTCAAGCAGCCTCAGGGCGCTGTCCATGCAGCCGCGAGTACGCATACGATCAACACGTGCACTGAGAACATTCTGTACGTACTTGAAGGTGCCGGTCACGAGTCATTCGACCGAATTTCCATGTCCGCGACAGTACTATCTGCCAAAAGCTATGCCATGTACTTCCGTAGCGAAACTACGGGTGCAATGCACACCAATACTGTTGTACAGATGGCCGAATGGAGCATGATCGTTTGCTTTGTCTGCGAGTGACCAAGTGATTTGGTTTTCTTGCGGACTCTGAGCAGATTCTGAGCAGGCAATGTACAGACTCTGAGCACACTCAGCGTGTTGTGGGCGTCCGCAGCACCTCTTGCAGTCCCTGTCCATCTAAGAGCAACTGGAGATCAGTGGAGATGCAGGTCCGTTCACATCCAGCTCTTTGCAACAAACACGTACGCACTGTTGATGATCCATGAAGTTTTAGACCGCACATGACTTAGGGAGCATGCAGGACAAGGCAAGAGATACTACAAGTGTTTTAACAAAAAAATGCCAATTTACACGTAAAATCAATAATCACACTGGCAACGAAGTACGAAAAACTTTCACGTCCGGCCCCAAATAGGATCTATAACACAAACACGTACGTGCCAGCAATACTCCCCAAATCGAGCATCGCGACGCGGGGTAAATAGAACTCAGAAGGTCGAGAAATGCACGTTAGGCTAGTCCCTAGGTTCCTGACTATGTTCTGCGCTCCAACATTTTCCAATTCGTGCCTCCGCATGCTGTGCCTAAACAAAATTCTTCTCCGCGTGCCTGCACGCGTGGTGTACGTACGTGTGTCCGCTGACTCGGTGTGTCTTCACCGTCTCGATGTCCTTTGCCAGTCTCTAGTCGGAATGCCCAGGCAGAGAGCTCAGCAGCCGCACTCTAAAAGACATAACAGCTTTGGGGAAACTGCAGTCCGAAATCAAGCCCACTAAATATAACGCTATTATTTTTATTTTTGAGTTCTGTGCTAGCATGCTCCAAAAGAATGTGCATGCCTGAGTCCGTGCCGAAGTAGATCTATGACATATCGACAGTCAACATCTCGAGTCTCGAGATGACAGCGCTAGACTGGACTGGCATGGCTAGAGACTAGTAGATCTACTAAGTACACAGTACATGTATGGTAGTAGAGTAGAGAGAGAGAGAGAGAGAGGCTTGTGATCAGGGAGTCGGGTATCTACGAGTACGACTCCCTGTGGCCTGACCCTGGTCGAGCGTGATCGCGATCCGCGATCGCTGACGCTGAGCATAGCGTTCGATTATGCACTTGAATCGATTCATGAATCCATTCGCATGCATTCAAGTCGTTCGATATCATTCATGTCATGTGAGCCCTAGAATCGATTCGGAATCACCCTATTCACATGGGGTGGTGTGAATCGATTCGTGAATCGATTCGCGGGTATAATCGAACACACTCGTACTCACTGAGTGCGTTCGATTACACACTTGAATCGATTCATGAATCGATTCAAGTGCATTCAAGTCGTTCGATTTCATGTCATGAGCCCTGGAATCGATTCGGAATCCATTCACTCTATTCACATGGGGTGATGTGAATAGCGCGAATCGATTCATGAATCGATTCGTGAATCGATTCGCGTGCATAATCGAACGCATTCACTGTATCTCTGCAGCTACATCGTAGATCTATACTTGTCATGTACAGTAATCAATATCCAAGGTCGTTATAATTATCCAATCTCCACTGTATCATTCTGTTTGTTTCAAATCTTTAAAGGGGCACTCGGCTTCATTTTCGACGCCGAGTTTTCGATGCCAAGACGAAGGTAGGGGAAAGAGAAGACCCCTCGAACAAGAACGAGTCTCCAGAAGCGATCAAGTCGAGCAGGAAGACGACTTTTGAATTTCGCCGAGCGAGTGCTGATGACGTAATGAGGGATTCGCTAGCTAATTTAGCTTGCCAGTGGAAACGCATCTGCGCACATACATTTCACATACTTTTCGGCCAATTTTCAATCGAAGAGGAGGTTGTTTTCTATGTTCTCTCAACGTCGTGAGCGATCCCGTATTCTATACCCTTCCAGGTATCCAGGCATATCCCGGGATTCGAACCCGCACTATCGCCCTACATGCATTCCCCCATACACTTCGCATTCATACCCATTCTTCCAAGTTGCTTCACGTTATGATCTTGCGTTTGAAAGCCCTATTTTGAATATTGCGGGCAGCTGTATGTGGCCAGCTGTGTTTGATGGTACGGTACGGGAGACGGTGTCGTATTACCCTCGATCGTACCTGTCCCGTACCTATCCCTACCGTGTACCATCAAAGACGGCTGGCCACAATGCATATTCAAATAGGGCTTCCAAAGCAAGATCATAATGTGAAGCAACTTGGAAGAATTAGTATGTACATGTACATGTATGCGAAGTGTATCGGGGGATGCATGCAGGGCGCGATAGTGCGGGTTCGAATCCCAGGTTATGTCTTAAAAAAAGGAATTAAAAAAAAAATTTATAACATCCCTATGCTTTTTTTTGTCTAGGTCATCAAGGCAAAAAAGCATAGCGTAGGGCCCTGAGCTTCCAAGCTCTCTCGTTATTATTAGACACAATCTCATAGCATGTGACAAGCATAGTTAATGCAGGGACAGAATCCCCTGAGACAAGGGCGTTGAGCCAGCCACGGCAATAGTAAGCTAGGAAAACAAAGCAAATATGAATTAAAGCAGAGAATGAATGGAAAATTACAAAGAAAAACGATTAACGGAAGTGAGCACTATCAAAATTCGTGCATCACCCAGGTATTCGAGAATGTTCTTCGATGATAATTATTGCGTCTAGTTCAGTTGTGATAGTAGATCTTTAAACTGACCAATAGAACAAGTTTTCAGACCGTATGGTAATGATAACCAATGAGAGTGGCCGGAAAGTAAAGGGGACTTTAGATACTGGGCTGACTTAACAAGAGGCAGGATGAGCGCGTTACGTGTTGAGCTTGTCGAAAACCAATTGTACTTCATCATAATTATGTGAAGGGGTTTTATGAAGAAATATTTTATGAACCAGTGTACAGAGATGGTGCTGAACGGAGAGAGGAGAAGTGTGTGCAAGTCGATAAAGGGCATCCGAAGGAAAACATCGATCCTTGCTGTAAAGAATTTTAAGTATAAATCTATGGTGGACTTCTAATTGGTTCAGAGTTGTGTCAGAAAGGCCACACCAAGCGGTATCGCAATAGTCGAATATAGGGAGAATATAGCACTGATAAAATAATAGTTTACACTGGATGGGCAAATGAGTGCAATGTGGGTGTAGTGCCCCTAATGCTGAACTGGTTCGCTTGCATACACAGTTGACATGTGCAGCCCAAGAGAGTTTTATTATTATTATTATTATTTGAGGGATTCCCCAAAGGCCGAAGCCTAAGTCTCCGAGAATAAATATACGTGTACAATGCGTGTACAATAGGGTGCAATTCTTAAACGGAAGAAAATATTACGATAAAAAAAGATTAATGTGAAGAGGTTAAATAAGAAGTCTGAGTAGAAGCAAGCGAAAAGGGTACTGGTAAAGAAGGGGGGTAATCAGGAAGTGAGAAAACCTCGAGGATGGAATCTATACCTGTGGAAATGGGGCCTAACGTGCCGGCTAAATACACCACGGGTTTCAGATATCCTAATCTCGGTAGGCAGGGAGTTCTACGTGGTGATCATGGAATGTAGTAGAGTGGATCGGAAACAGGGACCAGTGTGAGTGGGCAGGAGGTAAAAGTGGGGACGTCGTGCACTCTTGGATAGAACTATGTTGAGATGATTGAGGGTTTCCGGGTATTGGCGGGTGAAATGGTAAAACAGTTTGAGGCAATGTATATGCCGCCGCCACGCAAGACTTTCCCATTCAGCAGCTTCAAACACGTTCTCCATGCCATGAGAAATGGGCACTTTCCGACGGTGTAAATACTGCCTGGCCACGCGTGTTTGCAATCGTTCCAAAGTGTCAATATTTCCTGCGAACAGTTTGTTATTCCACAGAGGTGAAGCATACTCAATGGAGGGACGGACGTATCCTTTGTAGAGGCGGGCAATGAGAGCAGGGGTCAGATTGGGTGACATGTAGGAAAGCAGAACAACGCGACGACGAAAGTTGGAGGTGACACTATTGATGTGGGTCTGGAAAGACAGGCGGGGATCCAGGGTGATTCCTAGATGGCGGTGGGTAGTCGAGGGACATAGGTCTGCAGCATCCACACGCAGTGCTGGGGCAGGAGTCTGGGCGGGGTCAAGTTTGCCGAATACAACACGCACGGATTTAGCGGCATTAACCCTGCCACCAAATGTAGCAGCCCAGTCCATCACCATGTTCACTGCTGACTGGAGCTGTTGAGGTGCTGCTGCTGGCGGTCGGGATAACCCCAGCGCAGTATCATCAGCATAGAGGTATGTTTCCGTCCTGTTGCCATCAGGGATTGATCTCGGGAGGGTATTAATGTACAGGAGAAATAGGATGGGGCCAAGGTGGGAACCTTGAGGAACTCCCGCCGAGATAGGGGCGAGGGGGGAAAGGTCTTCGCCAACTTTGACCTGTAACTTGCGAGCTTCGAGGTAACCTGCAAACCAAGTAGTAGCCGTTGGGTTGCATAGTGGTTGTAGAAGGGCCAGAAGGGTAGAATGCGGGACGCGATCAAATGCCTTGGCAAAATCCAAGAAGACCACATCATACTCCTGGCTGCTGTCCATGCTCTTGGCGGCGCTAGCCGTTAAATGTATCAGTTGGTCAACTGTGCTCCGACCGTGTACAAACCCGAACTGATCCGAAACTATTACATCTTCATTCCTAAGGAACCTGCTAAGACGGCGCGCGACAATCGAATCAAGCACTTTGGCGACCGAGTTCAAGAGAGAAATGGGTTTACGACGAAAGGGCGCGAGATTTTAGGGCGCTAAGACGTTTCGGCGCCCTCAAACGGCGCTGAGACACGAGGGCGCTGAGACATCACGGCGCTGTGACACGAGGGCGCTGAGACATCACGGCGCTGAGACACGTCGGAGGCGAGACGAATCGGCGCTAAACTGTATAATGTCGACCCTTGTCGAATAACTATTACTTAACAAATCACCTCGGAATAAAACACAGGTACGTTCCCCCCCTCCCCCCCCCAATTATCCCAAGCAATGTTCTGATTTTCTAGTCATAACCGATAACCGAATCTGACTATGGCAGCTCAAGCCGATGGTATTCACTTATCTACTACGAAGAAGAAGAAGAGACTCCTCATCCATGAGGGGTTTTCGTACACCAAGGACAAGGACGGACTACAGGACACGACTTTCTGGAGGGGATGTTGTCAGATACTGGGAGCTTCTCAAGCCACGGTTTCCAGGCACCTATGCCGAGGGAGAGCAGAAACTCCTTCGGTACTTTGAACGTTACTACATTGGAGAGGAAGTTCAAGACGGCCCACGAAGGATTCCGTCCTTCCCAATAACACTCTGGAACGTCCATGAACGTACGATCCAGAACGAACCAAGAAGCAACAACTGCCCCGAAGCGTGGCATAGAAGATTTAATTCGTCCGTAAACTGCTGTCATCCGACTCTCTGGAAATTCATCGAAGTTCTTAAGTCAGAGCAGCAAACATGTGAAACCGAAAGAGCCAGACTACAAGGAGGAGATGCACCACCACCAAGGAAGAAGAAGTATGTGGAGGTGGACAAGCGATTGGCAACTCTAGCGAGTACTTTTGAGCAACGAGACCCGTTACAGTTCCTCAGAGGAGTGGCCTTCAACTTGAAGGCGTACTGAAGAAGCTTCCTTCATATCAACGATTATTTTTGCTTTGCGTATTGTACGATGTTGAATTATTTATCGCTACTTCTGACCACCATTACTTTCGAGAATAATTCGATAAAACTTACATTTAATCAAAAAGGCAATGGACGCCCTGTGGTAGTGGTGACATTCTGTCTCGGGGACGTGTGGTCCATACGCCTTACTGTCTGCGCGGCAAAATGTTCTCGCGCCTTACGGTGCAACGCCCTATTGTCACAGACGCCGTCAATATTGGTACAACTTGCGCCGTTTTCCACGATGGTGGCAGGCGGCCTTGTGTTATACTTACATTTGTAAATTAAAGACTTTGCAGAGGGAGTGGGCAATGACACCAGCGGTCTCCTTCAGAATGCGGTTCGGGATGTCACCACCGGCAGCTTTATGGACAGGCAATCTCTTGAGAGTATCAAAGACGTCGTAGGCAGATATAACTGAGATGTCGAAGGGGGATGCTGGCGTAGGTGGGGGGTGCGGAATAGGTAGTTGTTGGGTGTGGGTGTTGGAGCATTGGTTGGAGAACACGTCAGCCAGCAAGTGCGCCTTGGAGGCGTCTGTGGTTACAACCTCGCCTCCAGACTCAAGGGATGGAATTGGTGCACGCGTTTTAGATATATTGGTGAGCTGTTTGGCTTGGCGCCACCACTGGTACGGACTTCGTTCTCTGTCAACCCGTGCGCTAATGTTCTCCAGGTAGATCGCTTTAGAACGTCGGACGGAGGCTTGATAGGCATTGCGGGCAACTTTAAAGACAACCCAGTGGGTTGTTAAGTTTGTACGCTTGGCTAAACGGAAAAGGCGGTCTTTTTTCTTGCAAAGAGTGGCATGGCGGCCAGTGTACCAGGGTGTATCTGTTCTTCGCTTTGTGGAAATAGTTCTCATAGGCACGTGTGACGAGATTGCCGTAGTAATGCAGGAATGCCAACTATCCCACGCTTGCTCAACTGAGGACATACTACTGATGTCAGACGAAAGTGGAAGATTCCATATGTGGTCTCTGAGTGCATCAAAATCGGTGTTTACGTAATCAGGAACGGCACGTGACTGACTGGGAGATGACTGGGCAAGGGAAGGCAAAGCAACTTTGAAGACAACGGGACAGTGATCGGAAATGGAGGACAGCACTTGAATGTCACATACATGCTGTGGTGTGTTTGTGATGACAAGATCAAGGAGCGATGGACCCTGGCGGCCAGTGGCAGAATATCTAGTCGGGGTGTTGTGGACGAGTTGGATGAATCCAAACTGGTCTAATGCTTTGAGTAGAAGCTTGCCTTCTGCTGTAGACGGGTCTGTAGTTTGCAGTCAAACATCACACCTGCTTCTTGGCAGCGCGCACATAGTGAATGGCGGAACCTAATTCCATATCTTGGACCAAGATGCGGCTTGTCAGGGGCGCAGCAAACGCCCACGGCCACCCCATTACATGGCCCAGTGGGTCCATATGAAGGCCAAGGTCGAATGCGCTGCGTACGAGAACGAATGCCTACTGCCTACAGCTACCGCGGGGCGCCATGCGTACGGAAATGCGCCGAAATGGAAATGATAAATATTAAAATAATTAAGTACATGCGCCAGTGCAGTCACTTTGACTGGCGGGATCAACAAGTAAGTTAGTACCAGGGAGTAGTACAATACCATAATATTGTACTACTCCCTGGTTATTAGTACATGTACTCGTACTCGAAGGTGTCGCATGCCCTTAAATCGCACGTCCTGTGATGTTCGGGTTTTTAACCCTCATGCGCGCTCGAACACTTCCTCAATATGGCAGAGGCGCAGGTTCTCGATAATTTTCTCGGCTGTGGCCAAATGAATCCTTTACGGGCAGCCTCAAACTAAAACGGGCAAGCGCACGATCCTCACGGGCCGAGCCCGGCCGCGCAGGTTCCAAGTGTGCGCTCTGCCAGTGCAGGGGTGTGGCCCGATTCGACTCCCCCATGCGTCCCAACGCCCACTGCGGACTTGCTAACATCGCGGCATATCGCCACATTCGTCGAATTGCGACGCGTTTCCTGTAGGCAGATTGGACATCCCCTTCACGGCTTCAGATATCACATCTCCTACAGATGGGACATCCCATACGGGGGTTAAATTCCAAAAAGAGAATTCTGCCTACGTAAACATGCGTGTGTTATGAGAAAGAAGTGACAGTCAAGCCATATCGAGCACCTTGTGGTGTTATAGGTCCGCAAAGGTTTCCCTACAGGCTACGCTGCAGTAGATCAACACTAGCCATGGCCATGGATAATTTGTCTTGGGCAAAGCTCCTATCCCAACTACACATCTGCATTTTGTACTCAATGCAACGCGTAGTGAAGAGAACGAAAACTCATATCTACGTTGTTCTTCGTTGTAGGACATTCTTGCAAGCTGTCCGTGTCCCTACTCTATAGATCAGTAGTACGCAGTGGCAGCACACACCTTCCGCCGCGCGAGAACTAACGTAGTGGATCGTGCGAGAAGCTAGTACGTACGTTGTGGTACCAGATACTTTCCGTGCGAGAAGCAACATACTGTAGTGGCAGCACACACTTTCTCAGTTTCTGGACGAAACAGCGTTGTGTGGGAGCACACACCTTCCGTGCGAGAATCAGGAGCTACCTGACTGCATGCAGCTAGACGTCACGGAGCGTGAGTGTGGTGACCTCGATCTGCACAATCAGAGTAATCTAAAAGTAAAACAAACCCAAACGAAGTGTTCCAAGGTGGCTGACGCGGCGGTGGGCCAAACTCAGCTGACAGGACGGGATAAGACCGCCACGTCCGTTCGTGCTGTTCGCACTACAATATTATTGTAGTTTTTGCACCTTGTATCGCAAACTTCACAATTCGTGTGAGATCTTTCCCTGGATAACGGAGGACCGGACATCTAGCTGGGAAAGGTAAGCCGGACACTGCTCTTACTTACCAGCGTGTAAACTCGTTCACATCATTGTCAGCAGGAAAACCTGCAGTTTGGCAGGCTGCTAGTGTCCGCCTCAGTCAGCTTCATACAAAGTTATCGAGTAAAGTGTTAAAGGGTATCGGGTGAGTGTACAGTACATGTACATTGCATTAGGCTAACGCCTGTGGAGGATTCATAGCTGCAAACTGCAGTAGGACATACAGTGTAGAACAAGGACTGCCTGGGTGCTATCACTGTCATTTAATCGCCACACGAAGCACAGAAACCATAATATTATTATAGTTTCGACTAAGCCTTTGGTTCCATTACTTTTCAAGTCGAATACAATGATGATTAATACGATAACAAGCAAGTCCTTATAACGGGCACTTTGGCGAATCACCCTTGTGTTCAACTTGAAAAGTAATGGTACGAAATGCCTAGTCAAAACTATAATTATGGTTTCTGTGCTTCGTGTGTTAGTTTGATTCAATCCAACCAATGATCTATACTGTCATTTATATACAATGTAGGTGATGACAAGGCTATGGGGGAGGTGGTATGCTATGTTTTCAGTCACGGTCAGCTCGTAGTCAGCTCACGGTCAGCTCACAGTCAGCTCACAGTCAGCTCACAGTCAGCTCACGTCAGCTCACGGTCAGCTCACAGTCAGCTCACGGTCAGCTCACAGTCAGCTCACAGTCAGCTCACAGTCAGCTCACGTCAGCTCACGGTCAGCTCACAGTCAGCTCACGGTCAGCTCACAGTCAGCTCTAGGATTTCAAACCAACTGGGTAGATGACTGTGTACCTGGCACAACTCTTGCAGCCGGGGTCAGAGTTGGGTACATTCAAGTGCGGCTATTGTACCACACAGAGGCATAGGAGGCATCCCTGATTGAGACCCAACGTCCTTTTTCCAAGCGGGTCCAAGTACCCCTCAATCGAGCCGCTGACCCAGCTCGGAGCGGACACTGGGTCGTCTCTTTAAACTCTATCCTCCACTTGTTCCCGTATACTGTATAATATACACAGTCAACCTGGCATATAACGACACTCGGCGGGGCATCAGAAAAGTGTCCTTATTCGCGAAGTGTCCTCACTGTAATTCCGCGCATATAAGCCCATGGGCTTATATGTGAAATAATGCAGTTTGGGGATAAAATATCCAGTAAAACATGTTCGTTTTTTAGCCCATGGGCCAATATTCGAATTTTGAAGGTTCACGAAAAAGTACAAGTCCGTGCTCATGGTGAGTCTACCATACTCTACTGGTAAACTGCACTGCCCTCGGACCTGCTGTACCATGGTAGGAAGAGTCCATTTTGTGACAATTCTACCTGACACGCGAGTTTCATTTGTGTCTGTTTATTAGCCCATGGGCTTATAAGCGGAGGTGGGCTTATATCCGGATATAGGCCCGTGGGCTTATATCCGGATATAGGCCCGTGGGCTTATATGCGCAGAATTACATGTACGGTATACCCGAAGTCTCCTTACATGTATACAGGTAGGGTGGACTTTGCTCTGGGCATGGAAATTCTGTCGTTGTTCGCAAATTGTGTTTATATCCGCAGTCGTTATTAGCGAACTACAAGCTGACTACAACCCAATATTACCTGGATGCTTTATCTGCCACACTCTTTTTGATAAATCGTTGTGTTGTTATTTATTTTATTTTTTTGTTTTGTTATTGCTAACAGGTATCTGAATAATGGGCGATGGATTCACGTGGAGTTCACTCGCCTGAGACGCACGCTATGTGGATAGTCTTGATTGCCGCTGCTTTACTGCAGGGTTGTCAAGGTGATGAAGGTAAGCAGCACTCTCTTACTATAGGGTTGTCATGGTGATGCAGGTACGCTTTACTGCTTTTACTGCAGGGTTGTCATGGTGATGCAGGTAAGGTAGTGATCTGGGAACGCCGCCATTGGTGCTATAGAATGGCTAATTTTGGTGGGTAAAATTTGTAGCATTTTTAGAATCTGGACAAATTCACGCTGATATTCTTTATAGATCTGAGTTTCGGAGTTGCAAAAAAGATGACTACGCTGTGCTCTAGTGTAAATGCGGAGTTTCGATTAGCGTGGCAAAACTTCATCGAAAACACTCTCCTTTCGCTAAAATTGCTAAAATATCACTGGCGCTAAAATTAGCCGATTTACAGTGCGACATAAAAGTACTGGTCCTATGATCTCGCCCATAGGCCATTCACACGGAGCTGGGCTAGAAAAGGGAACAAGAGTGTTGACACTGGGGGCACCTGGGCGCGAGCACTGGCAGTGGGTGTTATACTGGGTGGGCGTTAATACGGGCTGTTACTGTGTGTTGACCACCCGTGCTATTTACCCCGCTTGTCCTTCGTGATCCATTGTTTCTTGTCTCCCCGCAGTCCCTGGGTAAATAATATTTACTAGGTGGATATTTACTAAATATCTATCAAGTAAATATTACATATTAGATATTTAACAGGACGAAACAGTTCTGTCCGCAGATTGAGTATATTTTAGATAATTATATTTTATGAGATATTTACTAAATATCCATCTAACTTTTTAAGGCTAGTACCAGTTCCATGACACACTTGTCAACCTTCCTTATTGGCGTCATACCGTCGTGGAGTAAAAGAATGTAGGACTAATGACAGTGATCACTGAAAACACACATTCCTACGATTGCTGCAAATGACCGTATAACCGTTTGTTGTTCTCTGTATGCTAGATCTGTATGGTGGCTGTCTACCACCTTCAGTTCCGCCTGACCTGATCGTTGAGCGGGGAAGATCTAACGGCGCTGTGAGGCTCACCTACAGCTGCGATGCGGCCTGCGCGCTGCACGGTCCCCGGGAGCAGGAATGTGTAAATCACGATTGGTTTCCCAGCGAGGAGCCAGAGTGTGACTGTCACCACCAACAAGCACCAGCATATCCTACTCAACACCGAGACCAAGGCCGTGAGTGCATTATATCATTTCGAGTGGGCATCACCACCCCCACCCACCCACCCCCCTTTCAATCCCCCGCCCCACCCCTTTCAACCACCCACCCCACCCCCTTTCAACCCCCCCACCCATATTCAAACCCCACCCCCACTTTTCAGTGATAGATACAGCTCTTGGATTAAAATTAAGATTTCGAATTTTGTACATTGTCTTGCAGAAATTATGAAAACGCCCATTTTGTGTCACCCCACCTCCATCAAAAAAATACCCAACCCACCCCCTTTCAAACACTCCCCCCCCCCCTTTCAATGAAAGGTTCATCCTTAGGATGGCAGTTAAGATTTCGAAATTTGTACATCCTCCATTAACAAAAAACTTCGTGGTGTAATTGGAGGGACTGGTTTCAACACAAACTGCCGTGAAAGGAGTCGCAATCATTTTCTCGGCCTTCCCTGGCGTGCCATGAAAGAGATACAATGGTAGGAAAGCGACCTTTCACAACAAACTAAGCGGAATTGATGGTTGCGCTGTGGCAACATAGGTGATGACGCGGCCATGGCGAGCGAAACTACAACATAGTATCACTTCTCCGAGGACATCATTATTGCGCTGTTTGATCTCTCTAGCCCTGAGTTTGAGAGTGATAGAGAGCGATGGGACGGAGCAGTGAGCCCACACAATGAGCGAATGAACACACAGTTGCTCCCTTCACACGGCGCAATGAAATGATTTTGAGTTCAAGTTCTTGCTCAAGATACGCAAAGCCCAGTTTCGAATGCTGATGACGATGCATTCTTTAGAAGTCTGCAGTCCAACGTGAGTCTCATGGCAAAGGAAGCTCGACGGGACTTGCTAGCCGCTGCCCTTCAGTGCTGGCAGGAGTATCCATCAGAGAAAATGGAATCAGTTTGGCTGTCCTCGTTTCGAGGAGTTCTATTAGAATGGAGGTGAAACCAGGGAGTCATAAAATATTTTTTTACGACTCCCTGGTGGAAAACAGTACTAATTGCCACCCCAGCGGATCACGCAGCTTGAAAGCCAACTTGAATGACGGCGGCATCACCAAAAGTCAGCGGAGTGTGATCAAAAGAAGCCGAGGCAAGGCTGAAAGAGCTGAAAAAGGACTCGAGAGAGATGACGACTCGAGTGCAGCAGATGACGACAGCGACGCAGGGTCAAAAATGAGTCGAACGAAAGCGATGCAAACTGAACTCTCTGCTCATTCCGTCAATGATTTCTCTTGTAAAGATGCCATACATAGGCTGAACTACCTTTGGCCAGTGATGTATAGTCCAGAAAGACTGTTCTCGACCTGTTCTAAGCGTTTTCATATCCATCAAAATCCATCGCGAAGTTTTTGTTAACGGAGGAAGTGCATTTTTCTTGCAGAAATTATGTAAACGAGACTTTTGTGTCATCCCCCCCTCCACCCCGCCCAACAAAAAAATACCCAGCCCCGCCCCCTTTCAAATTCTACCCCCACGTTTTAGCGATACATGTAGGTTGATGCCTGTGATGGTAGTTAAGATTTCTGTACATTTCTTGCAGAACATACGAAAAAGTGAATTTTGTTTGCCCTTTTCTGCAGATGACGGTTGCCCTGATGAAACTGCTCCGAGTTCTCACGGCCTTCAAGTTCATGTGGAAACATCTGAGAGCGGTGCCAGAATGCTCAGGTATGAGTGCTCAGCACGCTGTCACCTAGTTGGTAATCCCGGGCGAACTTGTGAAAATAATGAATGGTCTCCCAAAGCAGAACCAGTTTGTCAGTGCGACCCAACAGCCACACCAGGAGTTCACCATGACACTCAACAGCGGGGGACCAGTAAGTTTTATTAGAGACCTGCCACATCAGTATGACTGTATGTGACAAATACCAAGCGGTAGGCTCCGTTGTAGCCAGTGTACGCAAATCGTTAACTGATATGTCGGATACTGAGTCAGTAATAAATGTTAATGTAAAGTAGAAGAAAGCACATGGCAACGTGTCTAGGTCTCAGGGGAGTTTCACATGTCCATTTGATGTCTCGTCGCACTAGTAGAAAATCGCGGGCACTACTGCGGCCCTCCGGTGCCCGAAAAATGCATGATGTAACTGCGCGCAGGCGCGTCCACCGTATATGTATCTGGTGTCCGTAAACCACCTTTTCGGCCAACCTTGAAAAGTAAAACATGTGCCTACTGGATTGGTTATCGGGCATGCACGTCTTTCCATGGGCAGTTTGCAGTACAGTGCCTATGTCGAAGTGAGTGAGAGTGAGAGAGAGAGAGAGAGAGAGAGAGAGAGAGAGAGTTGCTCTACCTGCAGTTGAAAATACATTCTAACTCTTGCTTTAAATCATTGCAGAACATCGACAATACATACTGAAAACACCGTCATCAGAACAGGAAGAAAGATACGTCGAAAGTAGCGGCGATGTTTTGCCGAAAAGAGCATACCTGGACAGTGTAGTGAAGTACCTGTTATGTGTCTAGACTGTAGCTGGCTAGGCCCAGCTTACTTGTACTTGATTGTACATGTAGGTTTGTTCTTGTAAGAATGAACTCGGATGGAGAGCCAAGGGTTATTTATATAAAAAAAAGTAAAAAGGACCAAGAAACTACAGGATACACTATAATGTCCATTAACACCACCAGTGGACATTAACATAACCAGTGGACATTAACACCACCAGTGGACATTATAGTGTAACTTGTAGTTCCTTGGTCTTTTTACTTTTTATGTAGGTTTGTGTTATGGCAAACATGTACATATGCCGGTATTGTCGGTTACACAGCAGTTACAAGGCGGAGGAACACTGCCCCCCCCCCCCCCCGCCTCACTCCCTCGTCATTATCTCCGCCAGGCTGTTTGCGGCATGTGCATGTGAACAAATGTACAGTGGGTCTCCTGATCAAAAATTACCAACATTGGAACCCCCCCCCCCCCTTCACGACTCGGTGCACGCCACTGGCGTGCGCGTGCATGCACCGGAAGTACATGAACTCATAGAAACCTGAGAGAATTTTTTGATGGGAGCGTGTGCCAGCCGGCACCCATGAGAAGCTTGCGTGAACTAGCTGCTCAGTACATGAGAACTGTCGGCGCCATCTTGCACTACTGTTGCAGTCCTCGCTGATTTCTTGTCGTGGACCAGTTCTTCTTTCTCGTCATTATTATTATTATTATTATTATTTATTTTACTAGGGTGTTTCCCACAGACGTATGGTCTTCTTACGGGAGCCCCTACATGTTGGGCTATTGTTAAGCAAGTGACGCTTCGTGGCGGCTTCATTCGTGCTTCTGCGACAGCAGGGATTAGTCCCAGGAATGTTTCAGTGCTGGTGGCTTCAGCGAAAATGCATATGGGCCCGCTCCATGTGTGCTTTTCTGCAACTCGGTTGGATTCGGCCAGTGCATGGCCAGTGCATGGCCAGTGCATGGCCAGTGCATGGCCAGTGCATGGCCAGTGCATGGCCAGTGCATGGCCAGTGCATGGCCAGTGCATGGCCAGTGCAGGGCCAGTGCATGGCCAGTGCATGGCCAGTGCATGGCCAGTGCATGGCCAGTGCATGGCCAGTGCAGGGCCAGTGCATGGCCAGTGCATGGCCAGTGCATGGCCAGTGCATGGCCAGTGCATGGCCAGTGCATGGCCAGTGCATGGCCAGTGCATGGCCAGTGCATGGCCAGTGCATGGCCAGTGCATGGCCATCGGAGAGTTCGAATTTTGAATACTTTTAATGAAGTGTGATCTTCTCGCGACATGTGACCAAAAGGTGCTCCAAATTCACCATACACGGGACCATTGTTATTAGGCTAGGGCCTGTTTTGGACTTCCCACTCTAAATAAAGAATACAAACAAACAAACCTACATGTATGTTTACATTGCGACAGTCTCTCAACCTTGCCATGGCTGCTGTATTCTCAACCTTGCCATGGCTGCTGTATTCTTGGGGTTGACTTTCACTTTGTGTAGGTCATCAACTGCATGTTTGCACAGTGTAACAGTGCCCGTCCAAAGTTAGAGATCGATATTTTTTTCCAAAAGGACGAGACGAACAGGGACCAAATCCCCTCCCCCCCCCAACAAACGAATATCTTCTCTAAAAAAATATCGATACTTGTGGACGACCCCTTAGTCTTGCCAAATTGAGCCATTCCTTGTACAATCCTTGATGAGAAGGGAACGAAAACGTGCGGATACGTCATGACAAATGCCTTATTGGACGGGTTGTGTTCGCTGGCGTGGCCACTTGCGGACTAAAACGTACCTTCGTTTGGAAATTACTGTCATTAGTATACCATTGTGTGTGCAAATGGTGACCTGGCTCCTGAGGAGCCTGTGTGCCACTTCCGCAGACATATACCAGCAACAAAGATTTCACATCACCCCCCCCCCCTCCCTCCTCAATCCCCCAAACCCCCACACCCCAGTTCAGCGACAGAACATATGAAAACGTGAATTTTGTTTGCCATCATCTGCAGATACCGGTTGCCCTGACGATACAGCTCCGAGTTCTCACGGCCTTCAAGTTCATGTGGAAACATCTGAGAACGGTGACAAGTGGCTGAGTTATGAATGTACAGCTCCATGCCGTCTAATTGGCAATAATCACGTGCGAACGTGTGAAAATAACAAATGGCTTCCTGAAGAGGAACCAGTTTGTCAGTGCGACCCAACAGCAGCACCAGAAGATCACCAATATACTATGCGATTGGCCAGTAAGTTTTATTCCCGTAGCTATGTAAAAAAAAAAACGTTACTTCAGTAACGTCTGGCGCTAGTCAGGGTCCACACAGCTTTAATTTGGTGTGTATTTTTTTTGTTTGTTTGTGCCATCGGCATGCCTGGCGCTGTCCCGTACCTGTCCCATACCGTACCATCAAGGACAGCATCGGCATGCCTGGCGCTATCCCGTACCTTTCCCATTCCATACCATCAAAGACAGCTGGCCACAATATTCAAATAGGGCTATCAAACGCAAGATCATAACGTGAAGCAACTTGGAAGAATGAGTATGTATGCGAAGTGTATCGGAGGAATGCATGCAGGGCGATAGTGCGAGTTCGAATCCTAGGTTATGTCTAAAAAAAAGAGAAATGAAACATTTATAACATCCCTATGCTTTTTTTGCCTGGGTCATCAAGTCGGTAGATGGTGTCGTATCACTATTACCCTCGAATGCAAAGAGAAAGTTGACTCTCGCTACGCAAAAAAGCATAGCGTAGGGCCCTGAGCTACCAAGCTCTCTCGTTACAAACCTGCCAAACCTGCTAGATCAGTATGTATGCAATAAACATCACCAATTGGTGCGTTCCGTTGTAGCCAGTGTCCGCCAGCACATTTTGTTTGTGTGCACATACATGTGGGTATGAGTGTGTGTGTTTATGTGTGTGTGTGTTTGTGTGTTCGTGTGCACGTGCATGTGTGTGTGTATGTGTATGTGTGTGTGTGTGTGTGTGTGTGTGTGTGTGTGTGTGTGTGTGTGTGTGTGTGTGTGTGTGTGTGTCACTAGCATCATTGATTATGTGTAATCAATGATGCTAGTGACGCTTAGATCAGATCCACTCTGATTTAGCCACCCACACTAGTAGCAAGTATTACCTTCACTGGGGGCAGGGGTAACTGCAGTTGGATCCCTGGACGGATACCCTGATGCCGTCAATCCTTTTTCTGCACCTTGTCCTCACCCACTTACTGAGGTGTGGTGAGCCCATAAGTGGGATCATTTTCAAGTCCACCCAGAGTTTTGGGGATTTCAGGGGGTGTCGGCCGTTGGGCGGTTCAATAGCCAGTTGAGTCATCTTTCCAAGATTCCTTTTGAGTCTCTCTCCCCTCTTCCGGGGAGACCCACGTGACCAGTTTTGGCAGTGAGCAACAAGTACAAGTGTGTGTGTGTGTGTGTGTGTGTGTGTGTGTGTGTGTGTGTCCCATATGGTGCAGTGGTATGTGCAGCGATTTCCAATCGATAGGTTGCGGGTTCGATTCCCGACGATTATGGTCACAAACGTCTTTCTTCTCTTTCTCAGACTCCTCCTGACTTTTCTTTCATTCTCCTGGGTGGTTACCAACAGCCAGTGCATGCCGGAGTATGTGGTGTGATGTGTGTGCGTGAAAGAAATGAAAAAATGAAAAAGACCAAAAAGTAGGGATTCACTGGCCAGAAAAAGCCACTTCATAGCTGTGTGGTGTAGACCAGGCTGAATAGTGGCGGTCAATTCTTCAGCCTTGCAAGCTGTTGAATGGTGCAATCCCAGCACAAGCTGCTATGGCTTCTGCTGTAGCATCGCTATCATCGCCTCCGGCGATGGGCGTCCAATGGTCCAATGGTGTGTGTGTGTGTGTGTGTGTGTGTGTGTGTGTGTGTGTGTGTGTGTGTGTGTGTGTGTGTGTGTTGCCAGCTAGTTCAGTTGATGGGTACACGTATGCCTGATTGTGTTGAGTCTGTTTCCAACAGGCTTGGCTGAAGGTGTAATGTTGTACCTGCCACCTTTGTTGATTCCAGGGCTCATTTTACGTTCTATTTGAAGTATACATACCTGTTGACCATGGACTGCTTCTGGCTAGATTAACTCTTGTGTAATCAATGGTGCTGGTGAAGCTTATATCAGATCCACTCTGATTTAGCCACCCACACTAGTAGCAAGTGTTACCTTCACTGGGGGCAGGGATAACTGCAGTTGGATCCCGGGACGGATACCCTGGTGCCGTCAATCCTTTTTCAGCACCCTGTCCTCACCCACTTACTGAGGTGTAGCGAGCCCATAAGTGGGATCATTTTCAAGTCCACCCAGAGTTTTGGGGATTTCAGGGGGCGTCGGTCGTTGGGCGGTTCAATAGCCATTGAGTCATCTTTCCCAGGTTCCTTTTGATTCTCTGAGCAACAAGACATCAGGGTCAATTTTGTATGGGTTCAAACCGGGACATGGACAAGGGTTCGCTATATCACGAAAATCGCTATATGCGAGTTCGTTGTAGTGTAAAAGCCATATATATAACGAAGTGCTAACTCTTACGAGTTAACGAGGAGATATCTGTCGTTATACGGAAATCAATACATATACTGTCCTATTGAGCGTTGAGAATAAGTGAGAATCGTTACCTTTGGTGCACGTAAACCAGTCAATTTTAGTAAATCGTTATAATATGCGCCTCGTTAGAATAATGGCTTTTACAGTAAGTGGAGTGCACTGTACAGTGAGTGGACACTACTCTAATGTATGCCCGGCTTGTGGCAGCCATAGACCTGCACACACTGGACTGCGAAATAATGCATGGCGCTAACTTGAGTGACGCGACTGGGTTTCATTCAGCTGGCCTGTAGTATAAGATACTTACCACGCGGCATGAACAATCACCCCAGCCGTAGCCAGCCGCTTGTACACTGGATATGTACGACCTGTGGTTGAATACGCCTCATCCCTCTGGCAATTTCAACTCTCCAGTGCTCAGGCTACTACCCTTGAACGGCTACAGGCAAGAGTGGCACGTGTGATCCTGCGGTAGTATGGCGTGTACCCTCCTCAAACGGAGCTGAAAGCCTCACTTTTCGCGCACCTCCAGTGGCTCAGCCTCGCATGGCGAAGACACATTCAGTGCCTTCTTGAGCTCCACCACCTTATCAATAGCCAGATAACGACCCTGGAGGACCTAGGCTACTCAGCGTCAAACAGCGCCAGGCACCCCCAACATCTACTCGCACCTGCTAGAGCCAGCACACACACACACCCGTGCCACCTTTCTCTCTGTCACCACTGCCACATGGAACTCCCTCCCGGCTGCCATTCGTACTGTATCCAGCCAAAAATGTGTTACCGCTCTTGTCCGCACACACTTTGCTATCACCCGTTATGAGCCCTCTGGTTTCATTCCACGTAGAGTAGCGATGTCATAGAGCACTGTGTTATATTGCTACCACCCCGCATCATTCTATTTCCTATTTGTATTTTTCTCCTCAGCTTCTTCTTCATAAGCTGTTTTTGTACAAAATACAAACAATGCCTTAACTTTACCAACATGCCACCATTAAGTGCTCAGACATCACAATGTGCAAGCTTACATTTCTCCTGCATGTTGGAATATTAGAGCCATTGTTTATATCTGCCAGGTCCATTGATATTTGCCACTCTCGGGCCCGCACAAGCACTTGTTCAAAATTTATTGTTGCAGATGGGTTTCTTTTGGGGTCGACAGCAACCATGCCGAAGAATTCCTGGCACAGTCACCGACAAATGAAAACTGGGGGAACACTTCAAAATGGGCCCAAAAACAGTTGGTGGACGGAGCGCCTCGCCCCCCCCCCCCCCACGACCACCATGGCTGCTGCATTTTCCCATTGCGTTCACCATAATTATCGCTTTTAGTAAAAAAGAAGAAGAAAAGCGACTGCATTATGGGAGGGAAAGGCTATCACTGGCGCAGCATGCATTAGGGGCCGTTTACATGAGGAAAATAAGCCCGGGCTTCTTCGCCTCGGGCTTATTTTTCAACCGTTTACATGACGGTTGTACGGGGCTGAGCTCAGATGAGTGACTGCGAGTTCTGCGCGCATTTTATTTTTCAAATCGCACATGAACGCAGTGGTAAATGTTCGTGTCTGATGAAATTTGGATCAAGAAATGCCGGCTCAGGTTTCTACTGCCTTTCCAATTGTCACTTATTTTTCGAGAACGTGAAGGATGGGCTAGGACCTTCCACTGGACAAAAACCAGAAGAAAACATACCAAGAAATAAATAAAAGAGACGCACTGTCCACGGCCACATTCTCTCAGGTTCACGAGGCAAAATCGAAAAATACGGAAAAACTCGCTTATAAGCCCTTCTTGACCGTTTACATGACAAAATAAGCCCTGGGGGTTGGATAACCTTGGGGGTCAAGGGTAGGGCTAGTTCAGCTCGAGGCGAGCTGAATAAGCCCGCCTGACCATGTAAACGCCCGCTCTAAAATGACTGGGTGACAGATCAAGGCGGGCTTATCGTATGCCTAGGGTTGAATAAGCCCGGGCTTATTTTTCTCATGTAAACGGCCCCTTAATCTCCTTGGTGGATAACGCCGGCAGGAAAACTGACAGAATTTGGTGCTTTTTTCTGGTACATTTCATGCATGTTTGGCATGTCGGTAAAGACGTGGAGTGGAATTCAAGGAAGTGCCCTCCAGGAGGTTTGTATGATTTTGCCAATGACACTGCTTCTCCGCCAGAATCTGCCAATTGTATCGGCATCATCCTCTGGTAGCCAGCGTGCACGGCATTGCTACAATTGTATGTGAACAAACCTGACCGCCATGCCAACATGAGGGCCGGTCATTGCGAAATATGTTTATCCTCCCTGAACCGAACATTCATTTCTTGGGGAGCTAAATTCGCAAGTCAATCACCACTGTACATTCCTCCCCATGTGCCGGTACATGATGTATATGCATGTGATTTTCGTCGTCCAGCAAAGCAAGCTGCGTTCATTTCTGAGGGAGGGGAGGGGATCTGCATACGAAATGAACGGTGTTCATGCCAGGGACGCCAAAAAAGGTTTTGCGCAGACCCCTTTACCCCTTTTGTTCAGCACCATGCCAACATCACCATGCCAACATCACCATGCCAACATCACCATGCCAACATCACCACGCCAACATCAACATGCCAACATCACCATGCCAACATCACCTCACTTGAGTAGCATTGGCATTGTGCATCACCATGCCAATCAGAAACAATGAAGCGTATGGATAAATTAGCTGCATCACAATATCGCCCGGTTTCTTTCTGGCTGTAAAAAATCGATATTGAATTTTTTTATTCTCACGATGGCCTGTGGCCACTAGGAGGAGAAAACATACAGGCACGGGGAACGGATAAAGATAAATCAAAATTTAGCTGCGTGCTGCGTACTGCTGTAGTAGTAATATGTTAACTCAAATAATTTTATTCTCACCGGATGTTTTCTCGGTAATTTCTCTCGGCTCTCGTTGTGCGTGCTGGATAGGTTCCATTTTATTACTCTGCAGTGTACGTATAAATATTGACTTGTTGGATGTCGAGTTATTGGATTGTTTTTGAATTGCCACTAATCCTTCTGGCTAGATGGCCTCGAAAATGCTCGTGGAATGTACATGTGAGGGCTCTGATGGAGAACCAAGGATTAGTTTATACCACAGCTGAGACTTTCAGCTCTTGCTTATCTTGGTTGTGCTCACCTTCCCCTGATTATGTTATTTCTATAACTTAGAACCTTCCAAGTTAGAAGGCTGTTGGAGTGCGCATCCAAGATGTGCTAGAGTTGTTAGCCAGTTAGTTGTAGAATGTCAGTACCGTCAGTCAGTGTCGTGCAATGTTATCGCATGAGCTGATTGTCAAGTAACTGGTGGTGTTAGTGGACATTAAAGTGTAACTTGTAGTTCCTTGGTCCTTCTTCTTTTCTATGAATGTACATAACAATTTCTTTCCTCAAGGTGTTTGTACCGAGTGCCCAACTCACCCTATTCATCATGTTATTAATGATAAAAATAGTTTGATCCTTTTTTCCATTCTACTGCAGATACAGCAGCAATAACGACAACCGTAAATTCGCTTCCCACTTCTCGAAGGATCCCACGCCTGCACAGAAGACGATTTTTGAATTCGGTCAGAAAACCAGGACGAGCGGCAGTACCACTAGGAACGCAAGCAGCAGCACGGACACTAAAACCCGCGTCAGCAACAGCACCAACGCCACCAAGACTACCAACAGCAGCACCAACAGCACCACCAGCATCAACACCAGCAACAACAGAACCAACACCAACTCTAGGAAGAGCAGGAATACCTATGCCATTACCATTTATACCTCCACCACCACCACCCGCATCAACACCAGCAACAACACTAACACCAATACCAATACCACCACCACCACCACCACCACCACCACCAACAACAACAACATCAACAACAGCAGCATCAACATCAACAGCAGCGCCAACAGCAGCACCAATATCAACAGCAGCACTGACATCATCAACAGCAGCACTGACATCATCAACAGCAGCACTGACATCATCAACAGCAGCACTGACATCATCAACAGCAGCACCGACATCATCAACAGCAGCACTAACATCATCAACAGCAGCACTGACATCATCAACAGCAGCACTGCCATCATCAACAGCAGCACTGACATCATCAACAGCAGCACTGACATCATCAACAGCAGCACCGACATCATCAACAGCAGCACCAACACCAGCACCAACACCAGCACCAATAGCTTCAGCTTCTACAGGAGACCAGACCAGTAAGTATTATGAACATCTATCCAATAGTCTATTATAAAATTATTAATTATTCATATCTTTTTGCATCTTTCCCTCGAGTGGGTCTATTGTCTGTTATAGTCACCACTATAAATCCAATCCAATCCAATCCAATCCAATCCAATCCATGTAGGTAATTATACAGATGTATAACGTGTGTGGGGAGCAAACCTTTCGTATAACGTGTTGTTAATCATATTAGTGCAGGGGGGATTAAATACTTTTTGAATTAGGTGCATTAGTGCGCTGCGTGGGGATTAACTAGATGTGCACTGTGTAAGAGGGGTTTAATAGACGCGTTGTTGTAAGAGGCATTAAATAGATCTGTTGCTGCAAGAGGGATTTTATATATGTGCTGTGTGTAAGAGGGATTAAATTGATCTGTTGTTGGAAGAGGGATTAAATAGATGTGCTGTTGCAAGGGGGATTAAATAGATGTGCTGTGTGTAAGAGGGATTAAATTGATGTGTTGTTGTAAGAGGGATTAAATAGATCTGTTGTTGTAAGAGGGATAAAATAGATGTGCTGTTGCAAGGGAATTAAATAGATATGTTGTTGTAAGAGGGATTAAATAGATGTGCTGTGTGTAAGAGGGATTACATAGATCTGTTGTTGCACCCTGTACCAGTTGAATCAGGTACCTTCCACTCCACAGATCCTTGACCGTCCTGAACCTGTGCAGTGCAAGGAAAACGTAAAAAAATGTGAGACAAGCATTCACTGGGAACCTGGTGAAGAGCTATAATCTATACATGGTTTTCAGTCTCGGTCTCTGTCTCTGTCTCTTTCTTTCGGTGGCTTGCTCTCTGTCTGTGTCTGTCTGTGTCTGTCTGTGGCTGTCTCTCTGTGTCTATCTCTCTCCGTCTCTGTCTCTATCTCTCTCTATCTCTCTCTGTCTCTGTCTCTTTCTCTCTGTCTCTCTCTGTCTCTCTCTCTCTCTCTCTCTCTCTCTCTCTCACTCTCTCTCTCTCTCTCTCTCTCTCTCTCTCTCTCTCTCTTCACTCTCTCTTTCACTCTCTCTTTCACTCTCTCTGTTTCTGAAACTTCACTTCTCAACTCAAAAACGGTCTCTTCACTGCGATTCAAAATAAAATTAAGATTAGCATTACACCAAATTTTCGGGCCTGGCCCATCATCACGATAACGATCTTAACTTAACACATAATGAACGAATAAGCAGTCGCTATGTGCTGCACAGCTTCACGCAGCTTGCTCCATCTCAGCTCATGAAGAGCGGGCCTGCGAGGACTTTGCATGCAGGCAGAGGCTCTGTGTTTTCCCTAAATACAAATCCTCTCCTTCTTACACTAAACTTCAATAGCAAAGAAGCGGGTGCGACTTACAATCCACTGTGACTTCATACTCATGTGAATGTGGTGAAACATTTTTTTGGCTCAGACCTGAGAATGGGTTGCGACTTGTAATCGGGGGGGGGGATTCGGTAATGTATTTCACGTTTTCTCGAGGGAACCCCCCCCCCCCCTTGCATGGACTTCTCATGGTGTGTGGAAAACGCTCTTGGCCCAGTCAAGTATCCGACAAGGTCAATTCAGAGTTGAAAATTCAAGCTCAAACATTGCGAGCGATGAACTGTTCGATGCTCTTGTATGATTCCATTGCGTAAGTCCAAAAACATCGCACTGTTTTCGACCAGACATTGGACATAACACATTATGCCAATAGGTTTTTCATTTGACCCAACGAGACAACATGACGCTTGCAGATGGCAGCACAAACAGTTCACCAGCCACACTCCATGACGGGACAGTTCACCAGCCACACTCCATGACGGGACAGTTCACCAGCCACACTCCATGACAGGACAGTTCACCAGCCACACTCCATGACGGGAATGCAACAGAGGAGAAGCAGTAACCGTTGTTGAACGACTAACCAATTATGCTCACTCTTCTCACCTCTGTCCTGTAGAGAACGAAGGCTGTGAACTAAAGACTCCCAAATCCCAGGACCTTTATGTCCAAAAACGTATATCTAATGGCACCAGGATGTTGACATACGTGTGTATGTCAGGCTGTGCTCTGAAAGGCTCCCATGAGCGAACGTGTGTAAATAATGAATGGCATCCCGAAGAACCTGCGTGCGACTGTGCACGAACACCAGCACCAATAGTATCGCCTTCCACTGAACATAAAGCCAGTAAGTTTCAGTAATGTTTGAACCCATACACCCCTCTCCTTCCCCCCCCCCCCCCCACCCACCCCCTATTCTCTAACCCACATGTGTTGCAAGTATGATTTTACGAGAGTATGTGTGAGAAAACCAGAACAATTGTGCATAAATCATGTGATTTTCGACCATTTTCGAGGGTATGCCAATATCAAGATTCCCTTCAGAAACTCTTTCAAGGTCTTTGCGCAGTCGATCTACACCCCTAAGGAAACCTGCCTGCAAAATTTTAACGACATGGGAGAGGTCAACTTGCACAATTGTTCTGGTTTTCTCAGACTCTCAGAAAGTGGTGGACATCATCCAACTGCATTGTAAATAAAAGGGGGGGGGGGTTGTCAACTGACAACCACTCTAATTAGTTGCTATTCACTTTTGGCGCGTGGGCTAGATGAAAATTATTTTGTTAGTAAGGACGTTTAGCAAAGCGAAAGTTCGAAAGAATATTCGAGTCTGGGAATGAGTACAGAAACAAAGGTCGAAACTTCGAAAACTTGGACGCAAAGTTGCAGTGGTTTGCGAAAGTTACTTTCTACTTCCTCAGTACATGATACACTCCCATTTACGGTAGGACTCCCGTAGATCCACCCCGTATGCGCGCGCCAGAGCTCATGTTTCCTTTCAGTGTGTTCGCACACACTTTCCTTTTGTGTTTAGATTGTAGTTTTCATCGTCTCCCTGCCAGATATGAAGTAAATTCTGTCTGACACCGCATGGCACAGCAGTACAGTGAATAAAAACATAAAGGGAAAAAAGTACAGAGTATTATCGTGTCCCTTCCCGAAGGGAACTCACGACGGCCGCTATCACTTAAAAAAAACCTAGAAACCAAACAAATTTAACAAGAGAGGGAACAAAAATATCATAAAACCTGGAGGACGTGGCCATAAATAGAAAACTCAATTCATGTGTAAGATGGATCAACAAAGCTTGGCATGATACAGTTACCCAATGGACTACAGGCAAAGGCACACTCTTCTCGATAATTCAATACTGGAGATACTTTTACTTTTTTATTATTTATTTATGGATTCCCCAAAGGCCGAAGCCAACGGGGGTCTCCGTTCATGGCTTACTGGGAATATATCGGCAAAATTATAACATATAGATCGAGAAGAGGAAGGGTTATAACAAATGCGTACTGTAGAAATCAGCCATAACATTCGTACTCCTCAAGTGTTGGAACACACAGCTTGAAGAAGTCGGATGTTTTGTTCCCTTTCCGAAGAATTGTTCCGCAATTAGTCAACAGAGCAGCCAGCAAGTACACCATTCCTACAGGCTGCACCTTCTGCTGCTTTCGCATGTCAACATATGCCCAGAGAGTGCATATATCGCCAAATGTCCACTCCACTGAAGTGCGAGCAGCGCTCATTGAAGAATTGAATTCCTCTTGCTGTAGGTTGATGCCTGCACCTTGGAAGCCTTTCATGATAACTTCGCTGAGAGGGTACGCCGCATCACCATACATCTAGAGGGCCCAGAAGCCACTATCGGGTCGGTGCATGTGTTGCTGCAGTAGAGGCACCAGTTCACTTTCGGTGAGCACGCCTGCGTCATGCCGACGCCCCTCAATCGGACCGTGCATGTGGCAAATCCTTCCATCTGGTGTTGCGACACACTGATACTTCAATGCATGGGTAGGCCTGTGGCCATTGTAGTATACCCGCTGGTTCAGTTCAGGGCGGCAGATGGGGCGAATCGTACCGTTGATGAAGCCCCACACAGGCAGATCAACTCCAGTGCAGGATAAAATGGCTTCAGCATAGGATGTTATCCGCTGCTGGGTGAAGTATGGCTGGGGGAAGTATGGCTGCGTGAAAGACGTTGTTATACAGTGATTCCATCGCTGCCGCATCCAGCACAGCGTTGCGTTAAACATTGTGCGGAGGGATATATTGGCTCTCCCAAATTCAGGGGCCAAGTCTCTCAGTCGGCTTGGGTAGCAAAGGCGATGCAGCACTGGCAGGATCCCCTCCAGACCGGTCCACTTCAGGCGACACGGAGCCTTCATACGCTCTGGCATACGTAGTGCATCGTGCAGCTCTTGTACCTGCTTCTGCGTGAACCTGAATTTCCTCAAGCACACATCGTCATCCAAATCGTCCAGGCAAAAACAAGGCTGCGAACTTTCCTGGAGCGGCGCAAACTTTCCACGAGCAGCGTCATGGTCAACCATCTGTAGGAGTAACAGAAGCTCCTCGTCGTCCAACTCACCCGCATCGTGTTCAAGCAGGAGCAAAGGCCGAATTGCCTGGTATCCGCCGTCAAGGTCGTCACCAACCACATCCATTTTCTTCTCGACAAAACTACTTGTAAGCAGAGGTCAGTGCCAGCTCCAAAGCCAAGGAGACCTCAAGAACCTCCGCCACGTGTAGGTCCACGTGTAGGTCCACGTGTAGGTCTACGTGTAGGTTCACGTGTAGGTCCACGTGTAGGTCCACGTGTAGGTGCACATGGACATACATGTACGGTGTATTATTAATACCCTTATGAAGACGCTGGGCTCTTTTTCGCGTAAAAGGATCTTTCGTGTTGCTAAACCTCACAAGTTTCGTTTTTCTAAATAAATTTTCGGAAAATTTGACGGCAAGAAAAAGTTCGAACTTTCGCTTTGCTAAACGTCCTTAGTGATGAAGTTGATTGTTCCAACTAGGAACACACGCTTCTTGCCGAACTTGACACTTGACTGACTCACGACTGCCATCCAGAGCACACGAGGAGCACGTCGCACCTTGCACTCGGCAAACCTGCAAGAAAGCACCACTCCCTGCTCAATACACGGTGTTTCGGGGAATTCACCCCTCATCAGTTGCCCCTCATCAGTAGCTTGAGTCCTTAGTGATGTCGAAAATATTATTGACGTTTCGGGCTAGTCACCCGTCGTCAGGTTGCCAAGAGTGAATTGCAACTAAATATAAATAGAACGGTTGTCAGTTGACAAACCCCCTTTATGTGCAATGGCACGGGACATAAGACCCACGGGTTGCAATGGTACGGGACGTAAGACCCCCGGTTTGCAATGGTACGGGACATAAGGCCCCGGGGTGCAATGGTACGGGACATAAGGCCCACCCAGATGTGTTAGGATGTACATGTTGGGTACACCCAACTGATCAACTGATCTATCTAGGGCGCGTTCAAATTGTCACTCTTTGACTTTTTGAGGAGTTTTGTTTTTCCTTAGAGGTGGCCGTTAGGCGCTGCATCTGCCGCTAGGGTTTACCGGGTGTTAGCGGCCGTCGTGAGTTCCCTTCGTGAACGGACGCGATAATTTATTATTTTTATATTTTTAGAGGTGGCCTTATTGGCCTCTTCAGAAAAACGAAACTCCTCGAAACTCCTCGAAACTCCAAAACCTCATGCAATGGTAGAGGTGCAGTAGTTGCGAAGAGTTTGGAATAGCCGCGTCACGTAGTACATGGAGATGGTCCATCTGATCGAACGCCATTATTACCATGACAAATCAACTGAAAAACTCTAAAATGATAGAAACTGTTCTATTGGGACACTTCAACTAATCTCTTTTCAAAAGTTGTTCGAACATTTGATGAAGACAATTCGAACGCCCCCTAGGATACCTTCTGAATTGCGCTCCTTTTTCTCCTGCAGAAGACCGATGTCACCGGCTAATAACCATGAGCATGTTGATTTTGTGTGCGTGTTTGCGTGTGCGTGTTTGAATGTTCATGTGTGTACGTGTGTGTGTGTGTGTGTGTGTGTGTGTGTGGTTGTGTGAGTACATGTGTGTGTGTGTGTGTGTGTGTGTGTGTGTGTGTGTGTGTGTGTGTGTGGTTGTGTGTGTGTGTTTGTGTGTGTGTGTGTGTGTGTGTGTGTGGTTGTGTGTGTGTGTGTGTGTGTGTGTGTGCGCGCGCGTGTGCGTGCGTTGTTGTTGGTGCGTTTATTTTAATTCGCAAACCAAACGGGCAGATCTGCCCAATGAAAAGGAGGCGAACACATATAGAAAGCTGTAATTAATGAAATTGGGGAGGGATGTAATAAGGATAGAGGTGGAGAAAAACTAAGCCAGCTGATCGTGTATGTCTACTTGCTTCAGTTTAGACTAGATCTTTAGGAAGTGCTGAATATAAGGCTGCTCTTTGAACGTAGCACACACTCGGACGCATACACACTCACACACAGATTCAGGTTGTGCATCCTAGCTGCATCTCATGTTTGCCATTTGGTTGGTTGGTTGTGTTCATTTGAATTCGCAAACCGAACGGACTGAACATGTCCAATGACAAGGAAGCGAATTAAGTCCAAGTAACCCAGGAATGGGGACACAGATGGAAAGAAAATATGGGAACAGAAGGCTCTCAGCAAAAGAAGAAGAGAAAAGAAGGAAAGAAAAATAATAAAGGAGAAAAAGAAGAAAAAGAAGAAAATACATTTTAAAAGTGGTTTTGTAATAAAAAATAAATAAATCAAAATGTAAAAAACACACACACCTTTTATTTCTTACTTTGAAGTGTTCCAGGTTTTCCAGGCTTTCCAGGCTTTCCAGGCTTTCCAGGCTTTCCAGGTTTTCCAGGCTTTCCAGGCTTTCCAGGTTTTCCAGGTTTTCCAGGTTTTCCAGGCTTTGGCCCCAGGCAAAAAGTGTGTGTGATTGTTTGCGTGTATTTGTGTTATGTTTCAATGTGTTTTTCTTGCATTCTGCTTTCTCAATGCTGCTATTAGCCACTACGATTGCCATCCCATCACGAGGGGCTGCATTGCTGCCGCAGTCTAGCCAAATGATCCTCATTCTAGCGGGCGCAGTGCTGGCTTTGCTCCTGGGCCTCGCCTTCTTTGCCTGGAGACTTCGTTCGAGAAAACAGAAGCAAGACTCCGCCACCGCCTCCTCCAACACATACTCTAAAGCGGCGCTTCCGAGACACGACAGCAAAGTGCGCCGCGTCCTGACCACCACGTCCATGATACCTCTGAGTGGTTCAACGGCCGGTGCCGACGCGCTCACCGGCTGCCACAATCCACTAGCTGGCGGCGCGGACGGGCCGGAAACGGAACAGGGCTACATGAAATCCTTGCCGTTCCAGGACGGAAGCGAGCACGCGGGCGGCCAGAGCGCCGACATGTACACCATGCCCAGAATGGAAGAGGTTGAGCTTGGCAAGCAGCAGCAGGCGCCCGGAGGGTATGCGGCCGTGTCCAGCTATGCAAGCAAAACCCCGATCAAGCCTCGGTCAATCACCGATACTACTCACTACATATCACCAATAGACATAATGCAAGCGTCCATTAAGTCCTGCGTCTGCATTCTCGGTGATGAGTAGACTATGAGCCCAGACAATGGTTCCAGGCAATGGTCCCGGGCTTTGTTTCTAGGCAATGGTTCCAGGGACTGTTCCAGGCAATGGTTTCAGGCAATGGTCCCGAGCTGATGCCCTTTTCTCTTCACTAGGAATGAATAGGTAGTGCTGTGTGATGATCGTCCAGTGTGTGTGTGTGTGTGTGTGTGTGTGTGTGTGTGTGTGCGACTCTTTAGTTGGCAGCACGGCTGACCTACATTTCATTACGTTTTAGGTTGAGAGCGGAGCAACCTACACAATTGCAACAAAATGTTATGCCATACTGCATAGCTGCCACGAACATATTATTCCATGTGTCACGTGTATACCGGGTTGGAAATGTTCTACCAGATGATATGAGCGATTCGAGCCTCTTGGACACCAGCTTGCTTTGTCGTTTAACCTTGCACTATTTGTTGCATGCATCCTCTTCTCTTGAGTGGAAACTAGGCTGAAGATCGAGGCTTGGGCCGGGGGAATTCCCTTGCCCAATTGTCACCATTTTCTTTCTTTAGTTTCAGGCACTCCATTGGACAGCCTGGAACCTCTCTGGGTTACATTTTCGTGATGTATTTTTTCACTTGATGAGCAGTGTCCGATATAGAGCGGCAGTGGCTCAATGACAAACATTCATTTGACATTTCTCAATGACAAACATTCATTTGACATTTCTCTAGCCACTCACGTACATATACAGTGCAGTGGCAACTGAAATCCGACCCCTGAGCGATGCGTTCACATTCTAGCGGTCTCTGTTTCGTAGCTTCACCGTCCCGTGTTGGGTCTTTGCGGTGTGGGTGCACCACTCAGGGGTCGGATTTCAGTTGCCAGCACTGCACTGTAACCACACAGATGATGCATTCCCAAAAGGTTGGCTCTTTCCCGAAAGTAATGTTTTGCTGTAGAATTCATCCTCTTTGTAATAACACATCAAATGTCTTCTCAGCACTGCATACGTGTATCTATCTGCTATTTATTTCGATTTCAAAGAGCTCACAGTCCATACCCTTGACACAACATACATTGACCTCTGTAGCACCGTGCCAAAGTGAGGCTAAATTAATTTTTAAAAGGTTAATAAAATAACTCTTGACCTACCTCGTCTTGTGTGTCGGAGTGATGGCTTCTCCCGGGTTGTACGCTCGACTTGTTTCATTGAAAGCCCCACATTTAAGCAGGCCCGGAGCCCGCTCCTGAGGGTGGTGCGGCCCCAAGCGGGCCACAGGACTGCTTATTTTCCCATGTCCAATTTCAGAATCTCTAGCTCTATGCGTCATATCCGTTTGTTTCAGCTACTGAAGTACATATTCCTGTAGCAACAGATCTGCAGCTAGCGCCGTACACCTCACTTGACAGTGACACGGAGTACAGTTTAAATGGGGAGACCCTAGAGACTCAGACTCAGAGAGTGTATGAGGATAGCTTATTACATACTTCCAGATCATCAATCGCATACCGAGCAGCCCATGAACCCTGGAGTTGGTAAACGCTGGTACGGCCATGGCGAACAGCTAGAGAGAAAAGGGAACCAAGAGGAGAGTCCAGGTGGGAAAGGAAATGTAAAGATTATAACATTGAAAGGATCGGTCACGCAACGTGACGGTTAATCCCCATCTTGGATAGCGGATATCTATTCTATTGAGATCCCTAAGCATCCCTACGTGTGTCCGAGTGATGAGTGCGCAGTTAATCTTATTCACAGCTTTATTTAAAAGTCTACCAACGCATAGAGCCGATTGGTTTGTAGGCGCTTGCCTGGGAATCATGAGGTTCCGAGTTCAAACATGCGCTGGTAACAGGGAATGTGTTTAGTGCTCTCTCAATCGCGGTGCTGCGGGCGAGTACCGCTTTGCATGCAATGAACTGTGCCGACACCCACAGTGAACTCGGTACTCACTTGCTCCGAGTGAGGGTAACAAGGATGCGGTTCATGGGGTTATGGGGCTTTTACACGCCCGCTTGTTGAGAGACTTATCCCCTGTCCCCTGTCCCTGACTCCGGCACTTGTGAAGTCTGCATTCGACACAGCTACAGAGGATATAAGTATGGGTGAAGTGGTGGCTCGCCAATGCGAACGTCTTTGCTTGATGTGTTTCCCAATATGTCAAGTGACGCGGCCGCGAATCAGGCTAACTTTGCTTATCTAATTTTTTTCTAATTTTATTTAAATATTAAAAAGTACACAAGAAAGATTGGAAGCTGTGTCGCAACTCTGAGTTCCACGTATTACAGTGTGTACTACGATCACCAGGCCTTATAATCGTAGTAATACGTGGAACTCTCAGAGTGGCGACACAGCTTCCAATCTTTCGTGTGTACAAGGCTCTGCCATACATGGGTATTCAGCTCTCTTCGGACAGTGACAAACACAACGTAAAATTAAAAGCAGCAGTGGTGAGGCTTCCTGCAGCTTTATTCATAGGAAAAAAAGATTTCAGAGCAGACTGCTCTCTTCCCAGTCACTCTGCAATTTTTATCAATCAGTTATTACAACGTTTCTGCAAATAATTGCTCCCATCAGCGATGCAATCATATGGCCGCTTGCAAAGGAGTAGTTACTGTAAATCAAGACATTTTGTCCTGTGAGAAACTTTCGCCGATCTTGAAATCTAACTTTTGGCCGTGGCCGACCAAAGGTTGCGCATGATTGCGGAATTCCGTTGATTGCTTAATCATGGTTAGCTGTAATTTCCTGCTCTGAATTTATAAAGGGAGGCTTCCGATATGTACTGGTATTACGGTTCAGGATTCACCTTTCGCTACTTTTTTATTTCTATTTTTACTATTAACACAGACCTACTGTAAAACATGAGTGTGAAAACAAAAAGAAACAAGAAAAAGATAAAAGGACCTTTAAGTTACTACATCTTTGAAGAAGTAGTAGTTATGACTCTTATTATTATTATTTCACAATCACGATGACATAGTGCCAATAAGCATGTGATGCGGGCGATTTTAACCAGCCATGGTGGGGACAACTGAGAAAAAGAAGGAGAAGAAAAAGAGAAAAGAAAAGAAAACAAAAGGAGTACTATAGGAACCTGGAGAGAGCAGTATGAAGATTAGGCTAGCAATGGAAAACAACGAATTCAATTCAATTCAACTTAGGCGCGGGCAGAAGGGAACAAAATGCAGCGAAGGTGTCACGAGACTTTACCTCCTGCGGAAGCCGAGACCAATGAGAATAGGACTTGAACAGAGGGGATTTTAAAAGGATCGTTGACCTGGCAAGTGGGAAATGGAGAGAACATCTAGTACGCGAGCTATTATTGAACCAGCTTAAATGCGCAAGTGCATGAGGAGGAGCAAGTTGAAGCTTAATACGGTGAATGAATTTGCATGCCGAGTGGGGAAAGCGTTCTGAGAGAGGGGAAGAGGAAGCCAAAATGTATAGCGTCTGAGAGGAGGTCAGAGGGGGCATGCGAAATATTAATCGAAGTAATTTACGGTGGGTGACTTCTAACCGATGCATAAGAGCGGAGGATAGACCAGAGGACCAAACGAGAGAGCAGTAATCAAACAAAGGAAGAACATAAGAGTGATAAATTTGTATTCGACAACCATGGTGTAGATGGAAGATGTGAGGAGAAATGCAGCCTATCGCGGAGCAAACTCGCTTTTCAATATAGGTTACGTGCAAATCCCAGGACAAGTGTTCATCAAGAAATATACCAAGGTGTTTGTGATTTTTAACAATGTTGATAGCAATGGGATCATCAGGGAAAGTAAAAAGCCGAGTCGTAAGGAGGGTGAGGTCACTGGAGGGTCGTGGGGGGATACAAAGGATTGCCGTTTTCGACACATTGGGGCGGAGTTTCCACTTCGACATCCAGCGCACAACTTGATTAATGTGATACTGTAGCGAGTCGCAGGCTTGCAATAAGCCTGGCTCGGTTATATGGAGCGCTGTATCGTCCGCGTAGAGTGAGGTATGATCCAAACCTGCCAAATCATTAACGTATACGATGAACAATAGAGGCCCCAAGATAGAGCCCTGGGGCACTCCAGAGTGGACTGTTAGAGGGGCGGACAGGGCATGTCCAATACGGACACTCTGTCGACGTTCAGTGAGATAGCTGGTGAGCCACTGCAGACACGTCCCGGCTACGCCAAACGCTGCTAACTTATGGAGGAGACCCCTTGTCCAGACAGTGTCAAATGCTTTGCTGAGGTCGAAAAAACATAGGAGGCTAAATTGCTTCTGATCCTTGCATTCATATAGCTTCTGCACAAGCCTCAGCAACTGCCAGGCGGTCGAATCGCCTCGCCGAAATCCAGACTGTGACGGGTCAAGGACCGGGTTCACATGTTGGTATAAGTGGCCAAATGCCACACGTTCACAGAGCTTTGAAATGGTGAAAAGGAGTGAAATCGGCCGGTAATTGGATGCAGACAGTTTACTGCCTTTATTCTTGTAAATAGGCACAACCACAGCTGCCTTCCAGACATCAGGGAAGATTCCGGTGGCGAAGGACTGGTTGAAAACTAGGCTGAGAGGGATAGCTATACTAGGAGACAGGGCTTTTAGCAGTTCATGGGATATGCCATCTGCACCTGCCGCCTTCTTGGGCTTTAGGCGACGGATGTGTTGGGCAATGGCGGTGGGAGTAGTGCTAAAATAGGGTAGTGCTGGGAGCCCGTGGTGTGGAATACCAGGGAGAGACCATGCAGGATCATCCGGTGTTCCAAAGCTGATGAATTGGCGATTCAGAGCATTGGCAATCTGGGTAGGGTCGTTGTGTACTGTGTTATTTTCATGGAGTTCAGTGATGATAGGGTTTCCAACAGGGGTCGGCGAACGAAGCTGCTTAACAAACTTGAACAAACTAGGGGTGGATGCAATAATGGATGAGGGGTTAGTGCTAATGGAGGACACATACTGGCGGTGAGCCTCTCTAGATAGGATTCGTGCTCTGTTACGTTCGCACTTGTAATGCTCGTGATTGCTAGGGGTAGGATACTTGCGATACAAGCTGTACGAGTCTCGCTTCCTCTTCAGCTGAGCTTTAACAGCACGTGTCAGCCACGGGGGACTTGGTGTACGTCGTCTAGGCGCTGAAGAGCGCGACCGGGTGGGTAGGAAAGCGGAGCATAGACCATGAAGGATGTCATAAAATGCTGGAGCAGTACGGTTTGGATCTCCAAGCTTCAACTGGAGAGCAGCATGCCAGTTCAAATTAGCAATGGATTCATTTAGAGCAACTAGGTGAGTGGGAAGAATGGAGGAGATGTCAAACTGACTGAAGTCAGGTATCTGGAAGGAATGGGAGGGCAGTGTAGTGTTGGGTGCAGGTGGTGATGCGGTACATGTCGGGATGCACAAACGGCCGAGAACAATTGAGTGGTCCGACTGACCGAGAGGGGCTGAGGGGCGCGGATCGCAGATGCTGGCTGCAGTGTCAGTGATCATCAGGTCCAGAGCAGCCTCATTGCCTTTGTGGGAGCGGTGGGTCGAGAATGTGACGTGTTGCTGCAAGGCAAACATGTCAAGAAGACATGAAAGGTGGTGGCCTGCAGTGTCTGTTGTTGTTCCATACCAGGTGGAACATTTAGCATTGAAATCTCCCATGATGAGTACTGGCGAGCCAGGGGTCCGTATTTTAGTCAAGCAGCTTTGAAACGAGGCGTAAAAGTTATCTATCACCGACGGGTCGGTGGACGGTGGGCGGTAGACAGCCGCAATTTGGATGGGCTGTTGGCGCGTGGGGCAAGCAGAGGTTCCAGTGGATGGCGATATCTCTACCCAGGTAGTTTCGAATTGCGGAAGATGTAGGTCTGTACGGTGGGTAATAGGACCAAATGCACTTGATTTTACTAAGATAGCAACACCGCCATAGGCCAGGAAGTCGTTGGTGTTAATTTTATTCTCGGAGGTGGGTCGATCCCTTCGAAAACATTCATAGCCTGGGAAGGAGAGGGAAATTTGTGGACACAACCAGGTTTCAGTTATGCAAACAACAAGGGGACAGCTGGTCGTGAGAAAGTCGGATAGCTCAGCAGATTTGTTTCTAAGGGAACGTGCATTGATACAGGCTACGGGAAAGGAGGCTAGGGGCGTTGAAGGATAGAAGGGTGTTGCGTTAGGGTCAAGTT